TTTTAGTGTTGTTGTAGTTTCCGAGTGGTGAGTCAACACACTGATTACTGAGCTGGGAGACATTGCCAGGCATAGCGCCATAAATCGAAACTAAAAAAAAAAAAAAAAAAAAAAAAAAAAAAAAAAAATTTACTCTTTCGCCGGATAGGCCGCACCCCGACTTTTTGATATTTTCTCTTCCAAAAATACTGCGGCCTATACGCCGGCAAATACGGTAGGCATAAAATGTAAATTTGTATATCTGTAGTATACATGATAGATATAAAATAAATCAGCTGTGTTACAAGCTCATCTCAATAATTTCTAAATCCATTCTCAGTTCACAATATTAATTAGTAAATCAAAATGGCAATCGTAGAAAGAGAAGAAAAGCAGATAATTAAACTCAAAGTCACTTCTCAAAAAAAGTGTGTGTGGAGGGCTCCCTCAACATAATTTCCATTAAGTCAATGAAAAAATCCATACAAACTTTCTAAAATTACAAATTTACACTTATAATTCGCCTTTACTTTCTTGAAAATATTGTTCTAAAATTTGAAAATTTCCTTTAACCCTCATGTAGACTCTAGTCTACATCATTTTTTTAAACAAAAGAGTAAGTATACTAACCTTCGTTAAACTGTGATGTGCATTTCTGCTACTCATTTTGATGTCTTGATGTTTTGCTACCGAATGTCGAAAATATCCTTCATCCCTGATGTCCACAAAGCACCTCTTAAAATTGTCACTGTCTTCGATTTGAATAAGATCCACAAATATATTCCAGAGGACTGGTAAACGATTGATTGAAATGCAGTCTATTATTCTTCACAATATGCAAACAAGAACAGTGCGATATGAGACTTAAAAATCCAAAGTTGAAGAAAAATTTAAATTGACCTCAGGTTTAGCAGCACATGCAGACAAATCAATCGGAGTCAAGGACTCAGAAGTCAGAATCTCAATGTTCGAGTTGTTGAGGTACATGTAGTAGCTGCCAGACAATAATAAAGATGCTCTATATATTCCATGTGACAATACAGTCTTCGACTTTGTTATTTAGTTAGATTTTATGTCTGATACACGCAGGTTCACACATGAGTGTGTACATGTACCATGTACATGTATACCAGTGCCGTACTACCACCACCGCAGGCCGCACCACCAGCACAGCACGCCAGAGGATGAGCGTAGGAAATGATTGCACAACGCGTCACTGGTCCTGCTGCTTCATTGGCTGCACAAAATAGTCAAAAAATGTTCGACGTGGATCCTTTGTCGTTAGGTTTATCTCACAAAATTCCCTTATTGATGGCAGGTATTTATCCAGAATAGCACCTCACAATCTCGTATACAAGTTCAGAGGTAAAATACCAACAGCTTCTACGAGAGTATTGGTCTTCCAGTTTGATTTGTTACCTGCTTTCTCCGGATCGTCGATGCAATATCATCCGCCATTTTCATGGGATGCACTATATAGTTGCCAAATTGAAGCTGAAATGGTAGAATGATTTCCGCAGACCATTACGATGCAATGGTGGCCGTGGTGCGGTATATAGGGAGTTCCCTCTTTGAGCAAAGGCTGGATAAAGGTCGTGTCCGCTAGTGACTCAAAATGAACATCGACGCCTAGAAACTATTCTAGTGTTCTTTGGTTCTTTTTCTCTAGGTTTCTCTTTTATCTATTACTTAGCATCTTTTGTTGTTGCTTTCTCTCTTCGGCGGTTATTCTTTTAGGCCCTATTACTTTATTTCCAACTATTTTTCCTCCACTCATCATGATCACATCTCCACTTCAAGTTCTCGGTTCTTCTTCTTCGTCTTCATCTTCTTCTTCTCAATAGTTTTAAAAGAAAATTTAAACTGTAGGCCAATACTCAAAAGTGCAAAAACCTCTATTCTTAATGTTCATCAGACTGAAAAGAGTGTGTTGGTGTGTATGGGAGAGAGTCCATGTGAATGCAAATTATTTCCTTTTTTCTTCCTTTAATAACAAATGAGAAATTTAAATAATATACTTAGTTTTTATACAATTACTGGAGACAGACTTTTACATAAGGCCCGGCCTTCCTGTCTAGTCTCCATACTCATTAATGTACATGTTTAGAAGTTTTCCCCTTGTTCCTCAGGTCTTCTCCACTTGTGTTACTCTCATGTTATATATTGATACATGTATTATATTTTAACTTTTATAAGTTTGTTTTCCTTTGTATATTTTTAATGAAAGTATTGAATAAAGTGAACTTGAACTTGAACTTGAACTTCTTCTTCTTCCTCCTCTTCTTCTTCTTCTTCTTCTTCTTCTTCTTCTTCTTCTTCTTCTTCTTCTTCTTCTTCTTCTTCTTCTTCTTCTTCTTCTTCTTCTTCTTCTTCTTCTTCTTCTTCTTCTTCTCTCTTTATTTCTGTTATTGATATCTCATTCTCTCTTTTATTCTCTCATGTGTTCATAATGATATCTCATTCTCTCTTTTATTCTCTTAGCTGTTTATAATGATATCTTTTTTACTTCTGATTTTTCTGTACCATTTTCTATTTTTCTTAATCCCCTCTGGTCCGGCATCCCAGTCTCTTTCAACCTGAGGCCAGAAGAGTAACAAAAAAATCACACAATGACAAGCTTCTACCATAAAGCAAATCTTGAGCCCTGGTACGGAATCGTATTTTTGAGAGAAATTGCTATGATTTATTCTGCAGTAGCTTGGTTGTTTGAACTATAGTAAAATAAAAATTACTCACAAAAAGATACTGGGCATCATCTTCGATAAATACCACAACTCCCATAATGATGTCGGGCCAACATGTACTTACCCGGATTTCCTTATCTTTCTATGGTCATTAATTAGCCACTATACATTTTTCACCAAAATTGTTTGGCACATGTCATTTATTTGTATAATCTTGAACTATCAGTGTAAGTTTCGTTTGTCAGTTTCGTGTAAACTTATTTTCTACATTTACGAGAAATAACGTTTATGTTTAATAATACAACAAAAGAATATTTGCGAGATCGCATTCCGACCAATAATTATATATAGTAATATAGGAGGAAATATAAATCCTGATGAATCTCATCATGAAAGACCGAAAAGACCTTTAATAAGTTACAAAATAACATCAACTATAATGTGGACAAGCGATCTTTTGGGGAATTAAAAAACAAAGTTGTTCTTATATAGTCGCTTTAAATTAGGGGCCCACTGTCTTATGGAGGAAGAAAAGGGGGCGCTTATCACAGGGGGAAAGGACACTAACTTATTAGAAAATAGAAATAATCCGTATCAAATTTAAAAGGGCAACTATCCGAGGTGAAACGTCTCGTTCCTGTAAAAGGGGAAAGGGGACACTTATCAAAAAGGGGCCGCATCAGATTTTAATAAGGATAGTTATCAGAGGTGAAATGGGGGCACTTATTAAAAAGGAAATGGGGGCAGGAGTCAAAATAAAAAGGGTAATTATCACTTGGAGGTGAAAGGGGACATTAATTATTATTAATACAAAGGAAATGAGGCTCTTGTCAAAGTAAAAGGGAGGCATGCACTTAGGCCTATAACAATGTGGAACGGGCACCTAAAAAGGGCCTAATCTGAAGTAAAAGAGGTACATTTCCCATGTAAATAGGAGCAGTTTTGACAAAGTGGGGTGGTATATACTGAGTCCCCCCCCCCCCTTGCCCACGGGAGCCATGCCTCTGGGTTGGACATTTAATTTCACTGTTGAACCAGGATTGTGATCATTATTTTTGTCGATGAAGTCTTTGAAACAAGGGATTAAATTATCAACCGTTGACATTTATTGGATCACCATTTATAGGTTTAGGCCTACCTCACTGTCTTGGGTGAAGTGTTAATGTATCATGTATTGACAAAGGATATAGTATAGTCCTATATCATCATCCAATAATGAGTGATGCTGTCAATGCCAATGTCAATGCTTGTACTAGACCCATATAATGGCCCAGTCTAATTTATTAACGCCCCATCATCTTGTGATCATGGCAGAAAATTCAAATTATTAATAGGTATATGCTCCCATGAAGGGCGCTTAACATGTAGCCATTTTGTTGTTTCGACTTTTGTTTTTTGTTTCAATAGGCCATTTTCGTAATGTAACCAAATTAAATGCATAAGTATATGTGAAGTACCTCAATATATATTATTTCAGTCACCTGATAAGACTGACAATAGTATTTCAATAGTCAGAACGCAAACTGCATATTGCTAGGTATATAGGTCATTAGGTCAAGCCATAATGTTTGTCCTACCTGGCAACAATAATGTATGCAGTTCGGATTATGTCTATTGAATTTGAAATACTATTATTCTTATCAGGTGAATGAAATAATTTGTATTGAGGCACTTCACAAAGACTAGTGCATTAAATTTGGTTACATTATACGAAAATAGCCTAGGCCTATTGCATTACCGGCACTAAAGTCCACTGATGCCCTCATTAACAGGTCAAGTGATGCACAGTGAGAGAGAGAGAGAGAGAGAGAGAGAGAGAGAGAGAGAGAGAGAGAGAGAGAGAGAGAGAGAGAGAGAGAGAGAGAGAGAATAACAAAATATTAATTGAAACGAGTTAGAACATCTATAAAGCTTTATACAAACTATACCAAACAACGACAAACTTTTCAGGAAGCACGCCTTTCGGTATGTTTTCGTCGAGGGGAGGGGGCTCCATCTCTTCGTGCACTTGAGATGTATGATAATTTTTTTTTCTTCTTTTTTTCAATGATATTTTTTTTCTCCGTTGCTTTTCACAAACAATAACAAAAAAAAAAAACGGGTTTTGCTGGAAAAAATGAGAGAGGGGAGAGGGCGCGTGCCCAGCAAAAGAGGGCAAGTTGTTGTTGTGCTTTAGCAATTAGCATGGTTTACGCTTTTCACTTTTTTTCTTTTTCTTTTTCGTTTACTATTTGTAAATTCATACTTTCCATAAATCTCAAGTTTTTGTTAATGTTTTTTTTCTTTTTCTTCTTCCTTTTCCCCTTCTTCCTTTTCCTTTTTTTAATATAATCTCAGATCCACTGGTCCACGAAAACTCAGCAGCCAGAGAAAAATTTATGGTAACCTGCCCTCTCTCGACAAGTTATACACATTGTGTTGATCTTGACCGTGTTGTGTGTGGCTGGTACTGGTGTGAAATCATGAAAATGCCGGCGAAAGAGCAAACGAGGGAATCTGGTAAGAAACCAATAAATTCTTTTTGGCTCTAGAGAAAACCTAATAGTCTTAATAAAACTGAATCTGTTGGGATTTTTCTTTACGATAAGTAACAATTAGGCTATGTACGGGGCTATTTACTACTCCTACGTACAGGCCAAACTCCAGGGAGCTCCGACGCCGATGCCGAAGGCGTTGGACAATTGTTGTTGCCTGTTAATTGGACTCTTGGAGCTGACTCCAGAGCCCCGTTTATGAAAACGATTCATTCAAACAGCGTGTTAGTTTACATTTTTTTCGCAATGTAAAGAGCTAGTAATTACAATTTTGACTTACAATGTTTTTCCACTCGTCTGGGCATCTTTCCAACCACTTGAAATTATAATTTGAAGAAGTCTTTGAAGGGAAAAAGGGTGATTCTTCAGCCTTGTTCAGAATCAGATGCCTAGATCTATCTAAAATTTGACCCGTTACTCCGGCGTAGAGACACCCTACTAAAAACGTACCCAACATGAAGTAAATATTCATTAAATGTCCAAATAAAGATCATGAGTTAAAAGTCGTTTATTGCCTGAACATGTGAAAATATATTGCACACACACACATAGCTTAGGAGCATCACTATGACCTGGGCAGCGTTTCTCGAAACCGTCATAACTACAAGTTCACCGACATCCCACTGAAACGCGTGTTAAACTTAATACACGCATGTCAATGGGATGTCGGTGAACTTGTTCTTATGACGGTTTCGAGAAACGCTGCCCTGGCTGTGTATTAAAAGCTGTGCTTTTGATTCTCAACATTTCAAACACCACTGTACAAAACTCAACTGATTTCACTAAAAATCAGTACTTTAGTTACAATTGATGACACCTAAATTAAATAGCAGTAAAATACAACTTCTTCAACTTACTGATGTTAAAAAGAATAACTTAAAAATTGAAATTGTAAGTCTAGTGTCAAATTTGCTGATCAGTCCAATCATTCCTAGTATTGTGTGCAGTCTATGCAATAGTGTGTGTATTTGTGTATAATACCTGCCTCTCAGCAAGTATGCAGTGCTTGAGGTCAATATGCATAAGCATTGACTCTATGCTTTGCTGGAGTGATGTGAAGTATAATCTCTATCTTTTCTTATCCACAGGTCGACAGAAGGAGCTAGCTCAGAGGAGAGTTCTTGACTCCTTCACCCGAGCCAAGCGATTACGACGACAGCTAGAAGCCCTTGAACAAGACAACTTTCAAGAAGACCCTCACGCAAACCTGGTCCTTCTCAAGAAGAAACTTCCTCAGTTTGATTCCAATGAAGACAGTAAGTATGTCTGCGTCTACCAATCATGGAAGAGGCGAGTTGGCTCAGTCGATAAAGCGTCTGCCTGCCAAACCAAAGATCCCAGGTTCGAATCCCACCCAGACGGATGACTGAAGCCTGCGTTGTGTGTTAACGCGCCCCTCCCCTTGTTCATAGACGCAGGCTATGTTAAATGGAAAACACTCCGGATAGGACATTAAATGGAGGCCCCGTGTAGAGAAGAGTCACTTCCTTTGCATGTTAAGAACCCACTGCACTATTCGTATAAGAGTAGGGGGAAACCCCGGTGTAGTGGTCCACCTGCACACACCCCGTTATAGTAAAGTACTCTGTAAAGAGGTATGTACTCAAAATGGAAGAAGAGAAGAAGAATCAAGGGTACCAGCTATCCTGGAAATCACAGAAAACAAGTTCCCCCCTTTTTTCCCCAATCAGGGATGCTACAAACTCATGCAATCTGTTTTCTTTCTTTGTCCTTATGAAGCCCCTACCACTAAGAAGAGAAAGAAGAGAGGAGATCATTTCAAGCAGAGGTTTAGAAAGACATTTCACATGTTGGTAGAGGAAGAACAGCTGAGTATGAATGAACCTCCAAACTACTTGACCTGCTGTATGCCACACTCACCAGCTCCGCAGAGGAAGTTCTGTGCTGTCTGTGGATATCCTTTAATTGATTTGATGTCATTTAAATCCTTGCATTTTAGGCATTTGAAAGCTACATCCATTATGTAACCTAGATAATCATCATCCATATCAGTTGGATTTAAAAATTTAATTTAATGTTTTGTTTTTTTTTGGGGGGGGGGGGGTATTTTTTATTTATTTATTTATTGATTGATTGATTGATTTATTATTATTCTTGTTATTTTTTAAAATTATTATTATTATTTTATTTTTTAAAATATTTTTTCGGGGAGGCTTACGTAATTGATTCACCTGCATGATGATGCAATGCAAAATAATAAAACATGGTGGGGGGGGGGGGGGGATCAGAATATGTTTTGTGTAAGTAAGATGAAAATAAACGAAAGAAAGCAGTAATCTGGTACTAATGTAAATGCTATCACACAAGGGACAAAAAGGTTAAACATGTAGGTAAAGTACAATCAGTACATATAGTGTTCCTGCAGTGGAATGCTTATGAAACATACCGTTATCTGCTGTGTAGAAGTATTGATGCATTGTATTTTACTTCCTGTACTTGTGTATTTTTTATGCATTTCTCCTTAACTTTTCACACGTTCCCATCTAACTATACCTGTGTGGCTTGTGGAGCTCGGTACTGCTGTACTAAGTGTCTAGGGACTCATTTGGACACCAGGTAAGCACACTGTCTACAACTCTAGATGCAAATTTAAAAGCAATAAGATTCTGTTTGTATACAAAAACAATGGCTCTTCCAGTTGAAAAGGGAGGATGCAGGAATTCACTTACTTGAGATTGAAGGAGTGGATCTATTTATTCCATATGAAATGATTATAATTTTGATAAAATTATGGCCTTGAATTTTTAGAAGTAATGTTGGTATTTTGTATGTCTAAACCAAATTTTAAAGTTACTTGGACTTGAACCTGTATGATTGTTCCTTAAAGCTGAGGCGAATTCGGCATCAAAATCTTTGTATTAAAAAGATAATTCTAATAAAGCAGAACTTATTAAAAATATTATAGATTATTTACATTGTCATACTCAAATACAGATTTATTCATATGTATTCATAATTATCAACATGCAGCTGAAATTTCAATTCATATTGTTGAGTTAGGGTACTGATGATTCATTCTTGCATTCCCCGCCCCTCAACTCTTATTGCTGATATCCCTAGTACATGTGCTCACCTTGCTTCATAATACATTTTGTCTGTGCCCTCTTTTATTTCACTGCAGGTGTCTGAAGTGGACTGCATGATGTAAGCAAACAGAATCATACTTTGAAGACATCTAACCGAGGTTGGTTGAAGGGATCATGTCTGCTCAGGCGTGCAAAATCAAGATATGAACAGATAGGCTACCCTCATTGTTGGGATATGCTCCTCCCGTTGCTATGTTAGGCAGAGAACATTGAAAGATGGGGGTGATACTTGATACAGACTATCTATATGAGACCAGGAAGCAACCTCCAAGATGGAACATACTACCCTCAGAGCTCAGATCATGGGAGAACTATAGAAGGGGCGTTAGACTTGTTTCTACAAAGCTAAATACAATCATTGCACCCTTACGAAAGAAGTCAGACTGCACCCTTATGAAGGAAGTCAGACTGCACCCTTATGTTACTACATCTATTTAAGGAAAAGGGTAAGAATCTGAGAGAATGATCCGACATCGCCACAGTGAAGCTCCAGGCTTCTACCGTTTCAAATAAATGAGTAAGGAAGAACTCTGATGGGCGTGTCAATGTCAATCATTGCTCCCTTGCCAGGGAAGTCCTGCAGCTGGACATTATTAACCCTTTGCCTACTGAATACTCTCATTCCCATAGGCTTTAATACAGGCACCACTCAGTTTCAGTAGTCAACGAGTTAAAAGTGAAGATTAAGTTTTGCCTTGTGTTCCAAAATTTCATTTCTTATTTTGTAAGAGATATAGGCTAGAGTTACAATTTTTTTTTAGATTGTTTATGGTTCGGGCTAGGATTAAGGTCAAGGCCAGAATTGAAGTTTAGAATACTAGTGATAGATAATGGCTGGGGAGCAATTGTCATAATATGTCATGAAATGCTGGAGATTGAAGCCCCAGTGTATGGAATGCTACTTGGTTCAAACCCTGAACCTTACAGTTTCAAGTCCCGTCTTTTAACCACTGTGCCCCATCCCATGTAGACTAGATCGGTAACCCGACACATGCTCCGCCGACGATTGCTCCGCCGACATTTACTCCGCAAAACGCGACAATTGCTCCGCGACATTTGCTCCGCGACATTTGCTCCGACGTCAAATGCTCCGCCGACAGTTGCTCCGCCGACAGTTGCTCCGCCGACAGTTGCTCCGCCGACAATTGCTCCGCCGACAGATGCTCCGCCGACAATTGCTCCGCCGACAATTGCTCCGCCGATAATTGCTCCGCCGTCAATTGCTCCGCAAAACGCGACAATTGCTCCGCCGACATTTGCTCCGCCGACATTTGCTCCGCCTGAAGCGACACTTGCTCCGCCGACATTTGCTCCGCCGACAATTGCTCCGCCGACAATTGCTCCGCCTGAAGCGACAATTGCTCCGCCGACATTTGCTCCGCCTGAAGCGACAATTGCTCCGCCGACATTTGCTCCGCCGACAATTGCTCCGCCGACAATTGCTCCGCCTGAAGCGACAATTGCTCCGCCGACATTTGCTCCGACGACATTTGCTCCGCCCAAAAAGTGTCCCATAAACTACAAATGCTACTAGTACTACGACAAATGCTTCGCCGACAATATTTTCTTTACACCTATTTTTTTCGTTTCTTTTTTTCTTCTTCATTTTCTGAATGCAACTCTTGAAATAATGTAGATGAAATGAAATGAATGAATGTTGATGAAGTGGGAGGAAAAAGGAGTTACCTAAAAGTCATTTCGAATATACTGAAATAACTTTCCATCTATCACTGTACGTCCCATATAATGTATACTAAACACTCATTACATGTCGTGGGAAGTTTAAAAAAAAAAGTAGAGCAGCAAGCCACATTCCCCAATACGCGCATACCTCCTAGTTAATTTCAAGTAGCTCATCAATATGTAATACCTGAAATTACCTCGATCAATGCATCTTACTAGGTAAAGCATTATACAATGTAATAGGTCATCATGGAAGTTTAGAAAATAAGTAAGGGGGATTTACCAAGTGTTGATCTTTTTAAGAGTTTTATAAAGAAACAAAAAGATATTGAATATTTCTCAGCGAAAAAAAGGAACAAGCTTGTTTCGCATTTTAAGAAATGGCGATTTGACTTATGATACTCATGTTGATTTAACTTTTATTCCTGTGCCCCCTCACTCCCCTTTATGCACTGGAGTTCAAACTATGATTTATATGTGTACAGTGTATTTTTTTTTACTATAATGTTTTTTTGTTATAACTTTCTTGTCCTTTCATTATTGTTAGTTGTTCTTATACATATTGGTTTTTTTGTTTGTCTAATTATTACCAATGACTTGTAAATATGTAATTTTTATATGATTGAAAATTTAATAAACACACAAATATAAAAAAAAAAAGTTTAGAAAATAAGGGCACTTGTATACGTAAGGAAGAGAACCCATTCAGACGGGAAAATGAGATGGCAGCCTTTCTGCTTATTCACATTTATACAAATCATTTTGTTGCAGTTTGATGTTAGTTCTTCCGGTGGCTTCGTGAGTCCCTTAAATTATTTAGTGAAAACAAAGTACTCGAATGAAACGGAGTGTTTTGCACACTAACATATATATATTAAAGCTACATACACTTAACTAAAGGAAAGAAACCTTTAGAAAATGGACTGGATATTATTGAAAATATTATTCTAAACAAGAATGTACTACATGATTGTATTACTTTACGTTTCAATTTCACGAGAGAAATAGAACTCGAGAGGGGGAGCAGAGAAGAAGTGATGGAAATGAAAGAAGACTAATAGCATGAGAGGAAAGAAAAGAGCAAAGAAGACAAGAAAACGATGTAAACAGGAAAAGGAGGAGCATGGGAGAGAGAGAAAGAGAAAGAGAGAGAGAGATAGCCTTGAGCTTTGGATCAGCTAATGAGTAATACATGAAACAGATTTTGAGCGGAGTAATTATCTTTCGCCGGAGAACTTGCGTAAGGAGCTATAATTTTATTTTTTATTTTTTTAAATCAAACATTATGGGGAATAGCAAAAAACGGTTGTCTTTTTTGCTCTTTTCTTTCCTCTCATGTTATTAGTCTTCTTTCATTGAGGTAATTTCAGGTCTTACATATTGATGAGCTGTTTGAAATTAACTAGGAGGTATGCGCGTATTGGGGAATGTGGCTTGCTGCTCTACTTTAAAAAAAAAAACTTCCCATGACATGTAATGAGTGTTTAGTGTACATTATGTGGGACGTACAGTGATAGATGGAAAGTTATTTCAGTATATTCGAAATGACTTTTAGGCAACTGCTTTTTCCTCCCACATTATTAACATTCATTCATTTCATTTCATTTACATAATGTCATGAAATGCATTCAAAAAATGAAGAAAAAAAGAAAGAAACAAAAACAACCCGTGAAAAAAAAATATTGTCGGCGAAGCATTTGTCGTAGTACTAGTAGCATTTGTATTTAATGGGACACTTTTTGGGCGGAGCAAATGTCGTCGGAGCAAATGTCACCGGAGCAAGTGTCGCTTCATGCGGAGCAAATGTCGTCGGAGCAATTGTCGGCGGAGCATATGTCACCGGAGCAATTGTCGCTTCAGGCGGAGCAATTGTCGGCGGAGCAATTGACGGCGGAGCAAATGTCGGCGGAGCAAATGTCGGCGGAGCAAGTGTCGCTTCAGGCGGAGCAAATGTCGGCGGAGCAAATGTCGGCGGAGCAATTGTCGCTTCAGGCGGAGCAATTGTCTGCGGAGCAATTGACGGCGGAGCAAATGTCGGCGGAGCAAATGTCGGCGGAGCAAGTGTCGCTTCAGGCGGAGCAAATGTCGGCGGAGCAAATGTCGGCGGAGCAATTGTCGCGTTTTGCGGAGCAATTGACGGCGGAGCAATTGTCGGCGGAGCAATTGTCGGAGGAGCAATTGTCGGCGGAGCATCTGTCGGCGGAGCAATTGTCGGCGGAGCAACTGTCGGCGGAGCAACTGTCGGCGGAGCACCTGTCGGCGGAGCATTTGACGTCGGAGCAAATGTCGCGGAGCAAATGTCGCGGAGCAATTGTCGCGTTTTGCGGAGTAAATGTCGGCGGAGCAATCGTCGGCGGAGCATGTGTCATGGAACCACTAGATCATCCTGTCCCTGGCTGATAAGTTCATTTTGTTCAGAGAATATTTTTCTAATAAAATCTTGAAAATCACTGCCATTGTGTCACTGTATCCCTTGTGCTTGGTTCTCTTATAAATTACTATTCAACCTACCCAGTATTTAGAATTACAATGGAATTTCTATTCGATATTACCAATGAAAACAAACAGTCGATACTAAACTTGGAGGTAATTTGGTCATTTTAAAGAAAGCATTACAAAGATTTAATAAAGATGCACATAAATGAAAAGCCATTAAAGACACTCCTTTCTGATTGAAACCATCTTTTGCAATATTATTATATTTTAATTGTAACACCTCCCAATTTTTGATTGCCATGTAAAATTAAGTTGAATTAAGTTGAATTGAGTTTAATTACATAGGAAAAGAAAGCCTGTTAACAAAACACACATTGATGGTCACTTTTTACCGGAAAGATTAAACTATCGAAAATTTCAAATCCCAAGTTATTTTCAAAATAATATTTTTGACAAGTTCTCATTCTCAACACGCACTACAGACAACAAAAAACTACATCAACAAGAGCACTCCACTTGAGACTTTTATTTCAGTAGAAAGAAATTGATAGAAAAATAGTTCTCCTCTTCACTGGGAAAGTTTCTTAAATCTAGAGAAATTAGGACGAGTCATTTGAAATATTTTTTTGTAATGTTTAAGGTAATACATTTACATGTACACAGAGTAAAACTTGTTTAGATATGATGCGTTAACCTGCGTCTGTTTTTTTGGTGTGTATGTAAGGATGACATTTAGGATTCTTGTTGCGAGCAATCGCCATGCACTTCGTTGAAGTTATAAAAGAACCTGGTGACATTGCTAAGATGAGAGAAAACGGTTCTAAGGTACATGTAGTTACTTCAATGCTAGATGTACAATTAAAGATAATCTGAAAGTTTAATGAAAACGGACCATTATTACTGATAACAATTGGGAAAAACTAATCTGATTGATTCCTTAATTTTCCCTAACTATATTATTACATTTCAATTACATTTTAGGTGATTTTAAATTGTCACAAAGCAATGAATTGGCCCTCTATATCATTCCAGACGTTTAAGTGTTGAAAGATTCTTAAAAGGTTGTCTTATTTTTATTGAAAAAAGGTTGGGAAAGTTCAAAGTGGTTGGGAGAATTTAATGTGTGAGGGTGGTACACATTGATGCCTTCAAATAAAACCATAAATAGCTTTGTGGTTTGAGAATGTTCTCAGGATTGTTTGCATTTTAGAGGGCAAATACAGTAGAAGGAATATATTGAGTAACATTTCATACAAAAATTACACATTTTTTTCATCAACCCTCAACAATGTTACCAAGTCACTTTAAGACCATGGGGGTGTTTCACAAAGACTAAGATCGACTTTAAGTTGGATTTAACTATGGCAGGCCATTCATGCCACTGGTTGCTCTCACCATTGGTCTCTCAATTCTGTAGATTTGTGACCACGATTTGTACGTCCCTTGAGAGACCAATGCCAGTAAATGGTGAGAGCAAACAGTGGCATGAACGGCCTGACATAGTTAAGTCCAACTTCAAGGCGATCTTAGTCTTTGTGAAACACTCAAGACTCCCATGTCATGTATTTGTTAAAAGCAATCATTAATATCACTATGATATCTGTTAAAAAAGGCAGGCAATACTGGTTGTATTATTTCTACCCTAATAGCTGCATCAAAAGAGTCTGCAATGCAATTAGAAAAATTTAATGCAACCTGACAAATAAATTTCAGAATCAATGGCAATTTTGTTTAAGAAATGATAAATATCTAAAACTCTTTATCAAAAGTTGTGAATATTCTATGAGGGAGGAGGATACAGTATTAGAAATGTGGAATGTTGCATCGTCTGTTGAGAGGCAGAAGGGCGTTAAAGATAAAGGTGAGTTCTGGTCATGCGATTGCATTGTGAAAGAAAAGGTGTGGGATGGATCAGAAAAATTTGATCATGTAGCATGTAAGTATTGGTGTGAACTGCAAGGTCGGAGTCATCAAAATCATAATAAATTTGGCCCAGTCTTGGTAAAGATAACAAGCACTGCACACAGAAAAATGTATATGGGACTACACAAATGGTATCGGGGCTACTAACCTTGATTTTCTAATCTTTCTATGTTCATAACTCGGCCAGTATATATTTTCTACCAAAATTGTTTGGCAAGTGACATTTATTTGTAATCTAGAACATTCAGTGTCAGTTTTGTTTAATTCTGTGAGAATTATTATTTTTTTTTTTTTTACCAGAACTCACCTTTATCTTTAACTCTGTGTAAAAGGATATCAGTTGATGCCCTTATGACTATCAGCAAACACAGTATATTATGTTTTCATGATAAATCTATTGTAAAGAAATACCTACTAACCAAGAGACTTTTAGCCAACTTATTATCATAAAATATTGATAGATATTTATTCATAAAGCGTTCTTGTACTTCATCCCAATCAATCAGGCACTTCTTAGTAAGTGTAACTGACAACAAAATGTTAAATATTAGCTGCTTCAACGATATAATTTAACACATGAGAACATATAGGTACATATATTGATAAGTCTTCTATAATAAATCATAAAGCAAATGACCCTCTACTAACATGGGTCACTAGTTCAACCCTGAAAAAACTGCTTCACAATTGGTCAAAGAGAACACCTGCTTTCGAGAACAAATCTACAACCTCTAATTTAAAATTTCATGTAACAAAAAAATCTCAACATAGGAATTGGTATTGGAATGTCATTATAATTAAAAGCAAATGTACCAGTTAGCGTTTCCATTCAGAGAAAATACCCGATCTACCGACAGTCAGTGAGTGAGCAGTCTTGTGACTCTACATCTCTGACTCGAAGGCTCACAATTTACTGAAATTTCGATATTACTATAAATGACAGTTTGGGATGTTAATTGGGAAAAATTCCAGTTCTGAAGATTTTTTTCTTTTCTTTCTACATTTATTGCAATATCTTTGTCTGTCAATGTAGTCTTAGACATGTTGTACGGTTTGTTTGTGGTGGCCTAAAGCAACTTTGGTTTATTTGAATATTCTTGGGTTCTTACAGTAAGAAGCACCAGGGATCCATTTCACAAAGCCTTTTTTCAATGATAAATGACAAATATCAGTGACAAATCTGCTGATAACCAATCAGAAGCAAGGATTTCAGTAGCTTATAACAAAAACTGTCATTTGTCACTGATGACAAGTTTTGTGAAACGCCCCTCAGGACAGTCAATAGGCACACACATACATGTACAAACACCACAATGAAGCATAACTTACTGCACAAAATAAATATGTGATATAAAACAAAAATCAAAAGTCTACAATCTATCCCTTCACATGTAGAGTTATTTACGGCGCTTTATGGCGCTCTTGCATTTCAAGGAATAAATTCCTGCTAGGTACCCATTTACATCACCTGGGTTGAGTGTGGCAAATGTACATCAATGTCTCGCCAAAGGACATTAGTGCCGCAACGGGACTCGAACCGCGGACCTTGTGATCGACAGTCCGTTGACGTATCCACTCGACCACGACACCTCTCTATATAAAATACAAACCTGAAGGTTTTTTCTTCTGTTTATTAAATCATTCCCCATTACTATCACTATGTACACAAATAATGTATAATTCAAATGAAGTTTGATGATACGTAGAAGAACTATACATGTAATTTTGTTCTTTAAGTTATGAACACAACTATTTACCTTTCTATGAAATTTAAAAGCAGAAAGCCCAGTGGCACAATCATAAAATCTCAATACGTATCATTACAGTATACAAATTCATGTGACACAAAGTAAAATGAAGGTACTCATCTTGGTGGATATATTTTCTAATGCACTTTAAAATCGAGATTCAACAGTCAAACATGTCTATAACAGGAAAGGAGGGGGACAGATTTGCCCCCTTCTTAAGTTTAATGGTGTTCATGGTGCCTATAAGAGGCCACCTGACCATCGATGAAGATAGGAGCCAGCTGGGGATCCAGACTTCTGCGTCGCATCATCACCTGAACATGAAAATGAGAGAGAAACAAATTAAATAGGCAGATATATTTATATAGTGCATATCAAACTATAGTCTCTCTATGTGCTTAATGTAAATAAACAAACACAAAATACAACCTTAGGCTAACGATATACTCAAACCTGAAAATGTAAATATATAAAAGCTCCGCACTGAATCTGTATAATGTACCCCTTTTACGAAGTGGTAAATATGTCAATCATACTTTTCACATAGTGTTATGTTTTCATTTTACAACATGCTTGCAATTAGCTCACAGAAAATGAGTACCATACAGGAAAACTTGAGAGGGAAACCATAGAAGAAGATGCCAAAACATCGGGTATCAGTCATATGGATCCCACAGACATGAAAGCTTGGAAAGCAGCCATTAAGGAAATGAAATGTCCAACCCCACCAAAGTGGGACAAATGGACTTTAAACGCTGATGATGATGATGTTGATACACCTTTTACAAAAAGGTCAATACTTCAGTCAAACTATTCACATAGTCTTAAGAATTCACTTAAAAAGCAGATTTGCATAAGCTCACAAAAATGAGTACATTTTAAAAATAAAATGCTGACTCTACATTCAATTGACATGACATGAGAATATTGTCTCTTCAGAGCTAGAAGGGCATTAATTCTCTGTTAAAGGTACTATGTCCCATTTGCAGGCCAAAAAAATGAAAAAGTTAAATTCCAACTGCATTTGAAACATAATACTAATTTAGAACTTCCCTAAAAAAGGTGGGGCTTGAAAATGTCTTCAAGTGGGAAAATAATGACTATTAGTTGTCAAATCAACTTTAGGGCTATAGAGCCCAAAAGTAATAGTCTTGTCAGTCAAACCTGTCTTAGTGGCCACCTCTCTATAAAGGCTACCTGTATATAGTGGCCATGTATTCCATCTCCCTCTAGAAAGAAGTATGTGTTGTAGAACCTGTCTAGAAAGGCCATCTGTCTACATGCAGTGGCCACTTTCTCTGTTTGCCATGGGTAGCCTCCATGGACAGGTTTGACTGTGTATGAGCTAATGCCCTTCTCACTATGAACATGACGGACAAAGAAAGAGGACAAAATAAACAGTTCCTCATTCTACCCTCAGCAATTGCTGTGGTAGACAAAGGAACATCCCTTCACTGCTGTTATGTAAAAATTTGTAGAACAGGTGAATATGCATGTGACACCAGTTCTACACATTTTTATATAATAGCAGTGAAGGGAAGTTCCTTTGTGTACCACAGCAATTGCTGAGGGTAGAATGAGGAACTGTATATTTTGTCCTCTTTCTTTGTCCATCATATTCATAGTGTAAGATGATGAGATTTGAATATATACCTTGGGCAATAGTAGCTAAGTGCTTGATCTCTGTATCACTGAGTTTCAACATGGTCTTCAGCACTGGTAGAAGACGCCCCTTCTCATCTCCTTGAGGAAGAGATACAAACTGATGGAAAGAGAATCAGAAAGTAATATAAATAATCACGTAATACTTATTTTTTCTCTTTTTTTCCTTCTATTTCTTCCTGTATGTGCGTATTTAAAGGGATTCAGCAACTTTGTCTCAGATTCTGCATCAAAATCTTGGATTTAGCTCATGTTGCAATGATAATTATAAACCTTAGGTCAGTCAGGAACTCCATGCCTTTTACACGCAGATTGCCAGTCTGATTATCAAGATATTTATGATTGAAAATCAAAACCAAATTCTGCGTTTGCCAAACGGTTTTCATAACACTACAGTCTATTGGGGATATTGAGTATGGTAAAACCGGTCACTCAAAGATTTTTACTTTTTTGAGGCACTTCTTGATCATTTTGAATAATAATAATAATAATGAACATTTGTATAGCGCCTTTTCTACAAGTAGATACAAAGCGCGATATTTTAGGGCTTCAATATTACACCATATCACAAGACACTGGTAGCATGTAGGGCCATGCATCTCAGATTTAACATTATTTAACGATGCCTTTAAAGGTAGGCTTTCATATAAGGAATCCCTCCTGTCTACCTATACCAAATGCATTCATAACTTGCTATTGTGATTTTTAGCACCATCTTGTTATTATTTTTATCAGTCCATTATGTATTTGTATGTTTTTATAAAGAGTGTCAAATGAAATTTTAATTGAATTGAATTATCTATACAAAAGAATAAAGAGGTCTTTCAAAAATGTGTGTACTTGATTAATAAAACGGTTTGAAATTAAAAGAAGAAAAATCACAAAAATTATCCTTTTTATTTTATACAACTTCCAACTTGGTTTTCAAGACAGAACACGCTAATGTCTGAGTCAACTTGCCTGCTCTTTTTAAAGTCACACACTCTGTTAAATACTGGAATCTCAGAGGCAAATCAGCCTCACGCCACAAGTAACTCTAAACAGTTCTCACCTTGAGTACAACATTTTTCAAGTATTCCATGTTTGAGATTGCATTTTCCCTGGCTTGGTTTCTTTCTAATCGTCTGATCTCTTCCTTTAAGACCTTTGCTTGCTCTGTCAACCTCAGGATAGCTGCTTCATTCTCTCCAGTGATCTACGGTTTAGCAGAAAAGAGGCATAGAAACAAGTGACCTTAAAGATAAAGATCAGTTCTGGTCATGTTACTGCATTGTGAAAGAAACGTTGCGGAATCAATCAGAAAAGGTTGATCATCTAGCATATAAGTATTGGTGTGTTAAAGCAAGGTTCTGCAATTATCAAAATTATAAGAAATTAGGCCCAGTCTTGGTAAAGTTACAAGCACTGTACACAGAAAGATGTATATGGGACTACGCGACACGTGCACGATATCTATCAGGTCCAAATAGATATAATGATTTACCAAATATATCAGATTTGTATGATCATGTATTAGTCATAACATATTCTTTCACATGGTAGGTAATAAGAGCCTCCATTTCATTTTTTGAGGGGGGGGGGGGCATTTCCAAAACTGGTCTTTACCTTTAAATGGTCTTCTTCTAATCTTTACATGCTTGGGATAAGATAAGGGTATATTGCTTTTGGCAAAACTGTACAAAAAAGACTGTTGAAGGAGACACAAAAAGGTCCTAAGGAATCGCTAAAGAATTCCTTGAATGCTGTGAGCGCCGAAATCGGTAGCCTAGCAGAGCCGGGTAATATTCAGATCACCTGGAGCACCTTGCATGGTGGATATATGCGCCATATAAATATCAGATATAATTTATTATTAGGATTTTAAAGCTTATTTTCCTTTTTTAAAATTCCTGGCATCACATGCAATATAGTCATGAAACCAAAATGGATCCTGGCAGTGTGAGCAGAAATTGTTTCCCTTTCTTCTTGTGCGTGTGGTATATTTGTTAGGACTCCAAATTAAATGTGAACGGGTCAAACCAGAAGATAAACATACCTCTGTGAAATGGTCAATTCTATGCTGGGCAGCAGTCAACTGGCTTTTAAGCTGCTCCTCTTCGGCCGTAGAGCTGACTGCGCTGAAGATGCTCTGTCTGTCATCGGTCGGTGAGGAGAGGAGCTGTGCGAAGGGTACAGAGGGCGGGGCTTGGGTGGGGCTCTGTGTGCTGATTGGTGGAAGAGTGGGGCGGAGCTTACTTTTGGGTATCTCTGTATCTGTATGCTCCATACCCTGTACAAATGATCAACATGTGAGAGCGTTATTGTATAATAACATACATCGATTATTGGTTAGAGTATGATGGTTCCTCAGCAGAAATTGTTTATATGTGGTTTACTATATAAAGCCTGTAAGGCCTGTATTGGGGAGTGTCAGGGCCTGAAACCACTTAACAGAATTCAAACTGGCTTCCCTAGCTGTTATGGGGCATAGGACAGTCTCATATCCACTTACTTCAGCCTGTTCTCTCTCCCCAGGCACTGTCCTAATAGCTGACTCTAGAGGGCTCTCTTTACTAGACTCCACTGGAGTGCGTGTTGGGATGACGACCATGCTGTTATTCCTCTGTATCTCCTGCTGGGCACGGTAAAGCTGGTTCTCGGTGGACTCTAGCTGGCGCTGTAAGCTGTCCATCGTTCGGTGATGATCATCCTGCAGTTGCCTCATTTGAATCTAATCACAAAAATAAAACACTCAAATTAGATTCCTAGAAAATGATAATGACTAGAAAAAACATCTCCATTTCCTGAAATTCATTCATTGTTTTCGGCCAACTTTATTACCAAAAGCTAGCTAAAACAAAGTTTTTTTCATAGAAACGACACTGAATTGATAGCCAATTTATAATTCACTTAAGTTTCATGTTGCAAAGGTATTTGGTTTTAAAGAAGCACACACAAAAAAGAAAATAGATTAATTATGTTCTATGACATGATGTTTGTTCTATTTTTGTTATCCTTGAATTTTTAAACCACTGTGGTCAATGTACCCTGATTATCATCTGGTCTTCCTATAATTTACCATTTGAAATATTGTAGTCTATGTATTTTTAAAACTTGCTTGTAAAATGTGAGCAATTCAGCCATTGGCTGCTCATCACATTTTGTATTATACAGGGGTGATAGTGAGCAATTAAAAAAAAAGGGTTTCTTTTTCCCCCTCAACCATGCCCCCTTTGAGTAAAAAAAAAAGAGGACTCGGGGGAAAAAAACAACAACATTCCCCCCCTTTTGAGTGAGAAAATTGGAAAAATAGGAAAGAATAGAGAAGAAGAGAGAACATAAGGGGGAAATCTGGAAAATCAGGAGGAAAAAAAAAAAAAAAAAAAATCTGGAAGAAAAAAAATCAGGAAACCGATAGAAATCTGGTAATTATCAGGCCTGATTATACCATGCATAAATAAATGAATTAAATTGAAGCAAAAAAAAATGATGTTATTATATACTTATTAACCCTTGTTAGTTTTGGATGTTCAAGGCAAGGGTTAATCGTCTAGTGGATAGTTCCAGGGGGAGGGGATCCAGAAGTCACAACGGCTTACCTTGAAGGACGACGTCAAGGCCTCATTCTGTGCTGTTAATTCTTTGATGGATTCAGTATGCTCTATGTTCCTGCTGTGACTCTCAATACGAAGCTTCTCCAACCTAACAAAGATAATGACATAGAATATCTTAAAGATAAAGTTGAGTTCTGGGGGGTGTTTCACAAATATTCTACAAGTTTGACTTACAATTTTATGGAGAGCCATTTGTAGCCTTAGAATAAAATATTTTGAACAGAAAAAATGGGAGTATTTTAGACTTTTCATAAATTCCACATCAAGAACATAAAATCTTTCATAATAGAAAATATGAACGATTTGAATCAAAATTTTATGCCATTTAAAATAACTTTTACAAAATATTTTTAAAGATGCTAATGGCTTTCCATAATTGTTAAGTCCAACTTATGATCTTAGTGAAACACCCCCCTGGTCATGCGATTAATAAATAATGATAATAATAATAATAATAGTGGGTTCTTGTATAGCGCTCATGTCTGTGAGACTTGACACTCCTGACACTCCTGTGAAAGAATTGTTGTGGAATTGATCAGAAAAGGTTGATCATCTAGCATATAAGTGTTGGTGCGTACTGCAAGGTTTTGGAATCATCAAAATGATAAGAAATTGGCCCAGTCTTGGCAAATTTACAAGCACTGTACACAGAAAGATGTATATGGGACTACACAAACATGTGACATATTGTTCCAATTGTTATGATGTTACATGCCATATTTAGAATATGAAGGAATTTAAAGAGACATGCTTTGTGATGTGATGTTCTTCCACGCTTGCTTAATACAACGATGACGCTCACAAATTATTTTTCACCTCTTCCCTCTTCTCTTTAAGCATGATAGTGATTTACAACATATTGCACGATGAGGAAACTATGAACACATTGCCTACTGGAACCTGGTGGTTTTGTATTAACCCTATGGGGAATATGAGAACTCAGTAGTCAATTGGTTAAGTATAGAAATCAGTGATTTGATATCTAAAATTACTGTGTGATAACTTCCCCAGTTCTGCTTTGGATTGCGACAGACTCTATTTTTGGAAATATCAGGATATTTTTGTGATTCTTATTGGCACGTGCACCCATTTGACTACTGAATTCTCTAACTCACATAGGCTTAATACAGTGACAACTTGGATCCCATAGGCAATGAGTTAACATTACAGGCCTATGACTGAATTGTACAGTATCTGATAGTTAAGATACCTCTTCATTGGTTATCAGTCTCAAAAAGAATAATGTATAAGCTGTTACTCATTACTTACAAAACACTTCTTCATTCTTCACCCCATTACTTGTATCAGATTTTGAAACCTTACACCCACAACGGAATTTACATTCAGGTTCACAGCTCCAGTTATGTACACCCAAAACCAATAACAAATAGGGGGACAGGGCTTTTGCTAACATTGCACCCAAATTATGGAACACTTTACCATTAGAAATAAGACAATCATCATCAATTTAAATATTTAAGAAGAAACTTAAGCACCATTTGTTTATGTCGTAGTTTGAATATTGTATAATTATTTTGATGTTGTACAAGAGCGCCTTGAGCAGTCTTTTAGAATGGTTATGTGCGCTCTATAAATTGACATTGTCATTATTATTACCTTTCTCTTGCCAGAGCTTCCTTAGCCTCCATATCTTGTATGACCTCACTGTGTCTCGCTGACAAACGATCATGCTCTCCTTGTAACAGCTCATGCTCTGCCCTCAAAGCAACCATCTTATCACCCGTCTCATTCAGTTTACTCCTCAAGGCTTGCATCATCTGCTCTGACTCCTCCCTCTCCCTTGCATCCATTGCCATGGCAACAGGATTGGTCTCCCTGGTCTTCTGTTGCTTGAGGACGCTATGAACTCTGACCTGAGGTGGGAGAAAGAGAGGGAGGCAAAGGAGAGAATGTTGAAAAACAAAATCTGTACGATGATGACCCACAGAAATATACCCACGCTACTCCATTACCCTTTCATCCATGCCTGCCTTCCCAAATTCATAATAGCCTTCTTCTAATATCGCTCTTTTTTCTATTATAAAATCGATGCCTTTCGTTCTAATGCTATCCAAAGCTCCTAACCGGTTGGATTTACACGTTTTCTTTATTTGGACTCTGGGAATCCCCAAAATAGTGAAGGGATCATTTAAGAAGAATAAGAAGGTTCTGTAGGCTCCTCTGTCTAGCTTACATGCAAACATACCCAAGCTTGCTGTCTTGCACTCATCAGGGTAAAGTGCATGAATGCACAGAAGAATGAATTTGACAACTGTCTAGTATGCACATGTTTTAACTGATACCTTATAGCTCTCAAACTCAGCCTGGCAGCCAGTGAGTTCTCTGTTGGCTAGGTCTAGGTCCTCCTGGAGCAGAGTAGCCTTCTGTTCTAGACTCCTTACCGCCCTCATGTTAGCCTCGTTGGATGTGCGCATCTGAGGAATACAAACAGGAGGAGAGACATTACCAAAGTGTGTAGCTCATTGCATGCTCTGTACAGTCAAACCTGCTTTAGCGACCACCTGTCTACAAGGACCACATTTTTTGCTTCCCTTGAAAATGGTTTCTCAATGAAACATGTACTAAAGGAACCTCTACATAAAGACCTTGTCTCCCTTTGGTGGTCTGATCTGTGCATTTCATAAAATTGTCTCTTGTGAGGTTTTGGAATCAACAATCTTGCTTTTAAAATAACATCCAGTGAGAAGCAAGGCACTCATATATGGATACTGTACATGGGACAACGCATACATATAGCATCACTATTGTATACCTCACTTTAGAAATCTATCCATCTGATTGGTCGCAATTGGAGTTGTGATTTTAGCCATGCCCAGCCTACCAGTTAATAGTCTTTTGAAAAGTGCCCTCATACCCGCCTATCGGTCAATAGTCTTTCAAAAAATGCCCTAATGCTGCGATCCCCATTGGTTTACATGTTAAAATTGTCTTTGTGCGAGCGCGGACACCGTACAGTGCTTTTTGTCTGCGATTCCCAAATGATTGAAACTTTCAGTCATTTTTCCAGCAAAGATTAACAGACAGTGTCTCAGATTTTCCATGATGTTTTAACCAATCTTTACTCAATAAAAGGATAAGGTAAGAATTTCTTGGTAGATTTTTGTCTCAATTCGGCATATAAAAGACTGCTTTAATTATTCGAGGTCTGGCTCTCAAAGCATTATATATTTCTATACAGTCACACCTTTCTATAGCAACCATCCAAGGGACACACAAAAAGTGGCCTTTGTAGACAGATGTTCTTTGTAGACAGGTTCCTTTAGTACATGATTCGATGAGAAGCTATTTTCAAGGGAAACAACAAGTGGTAAATACACACAACAATTAGTATCCTTGTTATGATCTGTTACATATTTTGTAGAGGTTACATGTATGTCACTTCTGAAAAATAATGAAAAAACCAACCTGGTCTTTGAGTTTCTGATTGTCTGCGGCCATCTTAGCTTGCTCCATCTTGCCATCCTCGGCCTGCTGAGTGAGATACTCCACCTGGCCATAGAGGGCAGCCTCTGCACTTCTCTGCTCGCTCTCCGTCTTCTTCAGATCAGAGAGCTCCTTCTTAGCTTTCATCAACATCCCCTTTATCTTGTTTGCTCTCTCCTCCGCCTGGTCACGCTGGTTACCCACCGCAGCTGCACATCAAGGTCAAAGGTCAAAATAAGAAAATCCAGTCCGTTTTAATATCAGTTTTATTTTTCCATACCGTAAATCTCCATGTATAAGACGCACCCCTATTTTGGGGTCAAGAAAAAAAAAAAAAAAAAAATTGTACCTGTGTATAAGACGCAACCCCCGACTTTCAATTTTTTTCGGCGGTGTCTTATACACGGAGATTTACGGTACATGTTTGTAGTTTTTACACAAACAAATTAAGATATTTATGTAAGCAACAAATTTCATTATATTATGAATGTTCCTCACAGAATCAACATAATTCAGGATTCCTTAACAGAATCAAATGCCATTAAAACACAAAGATACCAACTGAAGGGTAATCTTGATGCAACAATGTATTGCCTTGGTTTGGAACTATGCCTCATCAACTTGCATGCTTCTAATTCCTTCATCTACTCTTTATAATTTTCATTTAGCTTAAGATTGACAATTTCAAACTCTGCAAAGCACATATCTTGATTCTTCTTCTTCCAAGGAAAGTGTTTCAAGGCCTTGAAGATTGCGCGCACTGTGTGTGCATGTGAGGAGCCTGTGTGAGCCTGCTGGCCAGGATCCTTTGTGCATATATGTACAGGGTGCGAGTAAAAACTTTCAATCCCGTGAGGGCAGTAAGGGGTGAATCTTCCCCAGTGAGAATTTAAATGCCTCAAGGGAGAGTGAGCAGACTGGATCTACTGGAAGGTTGTTCCAGTCCTTGGTAGTTCTAGGGAAGAAGGAGCTGATTGGAAGAAAGCAATTTTTTGAAACGTAATTACTGCAAGAACATTACATCTTACCAACTTCATTCTGCATCGCATCTAGTCTCTTCTCCAGATTGTCCACCTCTGTTGTGAGGGTAGTAATCTTGGTGTCTCTCTCATCGATAGTTGCGTTCAGACTTGATACCGTTTTCTCATAGTCTGCTATTTCTAGATCCATAAGATTGCTCTGACTGGCTTCCTACAAACAAAGTTAGAATCATACAAGACTAGTAAACTTCATGCATCTCTCATCGATGGTTATATTCAAAATACTCTATTTCGCTTAGTTGTCATCTAAAAAACTAGCAGTTAACTTTAACATTGGTTCACCGGTACATTTCTGATGAAGATGTCTTGATCATAGAAGGTAAAACTGTCAAAGGTTAATAATGTTTGGATGTATCAAAGAACCAATTCATAATAGTTGTTCAATAAAGTCTGAAGACTCATGAGATGTGAAACAGGTCCCTGATTGGCTTCCTTCATAGCAAAGAGAGGTAGATGCATGGAATGTTCATTGGAACTGTTCCTGTAAATATGATCACATTGCATGAGGTTCAGCCCATTTTGTAGCATATCATATTTACATAAGCATCCTATACATCACAAAGGTACCCGTAAAAATTAGTGTATACTGTCACATGAAGCACAATTGTTCTGTGAAAAATCTTATAAAATTTGTTTGTGAAAATATAAAAAATGTATAAAAGTGACAACATGAAATGATAAAAATCTGACTCAAATATCGATTGCTGATTGATAAATGGCGAATTTATTACAGTTCTCTCCATGTTCTGTATTGATATGTTCATAAGTATAAAAAGACTCAACTTACTTGAAGAGCAGCTCCTAGTTTCCTAGTGGTGTTATCATGTGTTGTCTTCTGTTCGTTCAAGGATTTCTCAAGGATGACAACTCTCTCATTTGCCTGTAAATAATAATAATAGGTCCATTTATATTGCGCAGCTACTATATGAATATACTCTAATGTGCTAAACACAAAGTACCATATTATTACCCCGGGTGTAGCTGAGTCGCCATCATGACAATATATACAAAGATAAAATATGGAATTTCATAACAGATAACAAAATCAAAATTACATATAAATTGACAGAAAATATGAGTATAAACCATAGTACAAATGGACAATGGTGCATCCGTAAAAAGCCAATAAGGCTTGACAATTGAATGCACCAGGCGCAGAAGTAATAATAACATATACTTAGAAGAAGAAAAATAAATTCAAATAGAATTCTGACCTGTTGCAGTTGTTGCTCTTTCTCTGTCTTCTCTGTCCTCTCAGCATCCCTCTCCTCCTCGGCAACCGTCGCCCTGCTCCTCATCTCGGCCACGCCCCTCTCTAAAGTCTTAATCTCCTTGTCTTGACCGTCAAGTCTCTGGACTAGCTCTTCCTTCAATTGCTTCGTCTGAGTACACTCCATCGAGAGATTCTAGGATGTAGAGAATTCATTCATCTTATTAAGAAAGGCTATCCTCAGCTTCAAACGACAATTATCCAACCTGGGGGGTGTTTCACGAAGACCAAGGTCAACTTTAAGTTGGACTTAACTATGACATGCCATTCATGCCACTGGTTGCTCTCACTATTCACTATTGGTCTCTCAATTATGATCTTTAGATAACATTTTTCCTTCTATAATGAACTATCAAAAACATATTTTCTGTAGATTTGTGACCACGATTTTATAAGTCCCTGGATACACCAATGCCAGTAGATGGTGAGAGCAAACAGTAGCATAAACAGCCTGCCATAGTTACATCTAACTTAAAGTCAATCTTAGTCTTTGTGAAACACCCCCAGGGTTTTTAAATGGGTCCAATGGGACCCCCTTAACCCTGCCACACCACACTATCTACTGGATCTTCATCACAACGATGGCGAGGTGTGGCCCTCAAGGTATATTCAAGGTATGAGGGTCATATCAAGTGAATATCTATCTTACTACATGTAGATTTCAAACATAATTTGTACATTTAAGAAACACACCTGTCTTGGAATTTGATCTACTTGCCTTTCTGGGTACACTCCACTGAGAGATTCTAGTGTGTTCAGATGTCAAGTATTAATTCATTTTATTCATAGAATTGAGCTTTAGGGGAGTATCTTATAAGTGAATACGTATCTCACTATATACACTGTTTTAAACATGGCATATGTTTGATCAATAAAATTCACTTACATTCAAGTCTTGCTGTGTTTCTGAAATCTGCTTCTCCAATTCTTTTATCCTTCAAATAAAACAAGAAAAAGAAAAAGAAAATGGAATGTTACACAAGTATTATAAATCTGTGATATGGAAACAGATTCAACTGAATTATGTGAAGACCAATCATATTCTTATTTATATATAAGTAATTATTGTACAACACCATAAAAAGTGTATTCTTGCCTCTTTATTGGACTAAATAAAAATAATTTTTAAAACAATTTTCGTCTTCTGTTCACAAGTTTATCAGTATGGTTTAAATGATTAGGAATAAGTTCTGTGATACATCACATGGGTACATGTATTAACCTGTGACAGTTTTGACGTCATTGTTCAGAGACCTTCCTCAAATGTGTTCTGGCACACTGAAGTTAGCTACCAGTTTTTCCTATTGCTGCAAGATGCAATTTTGCCGATCACCAATGAGTCATAGAACTTATTCTTAATGATTTGTTAGATTTACCTTTCAGTTTTTGCCTCCAATTCATCTTGAAGCTTCTCATACTCATTGTGTAGACTCTGAAATTTAGAAAGAGGAGAAAACATATATATATTAATGATCTAATTACTCAAAACTTTCAGTTTGCATGACTGTGCCTCTTCATTAGTGTTCCACCAAAGAACCTTCATATTGTAATTTTGTTCTTCCAATCAAAATGTCTCTTGTTGAAAACAAAGTCAGCATACCATCCTTGTTATTTAGGAAGATGATAATGAGAGAGGAAGCACAATAATTATGACAATACAGTCAAACCTGCTTTAGTGACCACCTGTCTGCAAAGACCACTTGCCTACAAAGGCCACATTTGTTGTTTCCATTGAAAATGGATTCTCATTGAATCATGTAATAAAGGAACCTGTCTACAAAGACCACCTGTCTACTAAGGCCACTTTTTGTGTTTCCCTTGGGTGGTCGCTATAGTAAGGTTTGACTGTATTTATAAAGTACACATATCCATCATTATGGATGCTCAAGTCACCAAAGAATAATTACAAATAAATGCTATTACAAGGAAATCAATCAGTTATGAATTGAAGTATATAAAATGAGGAATAACTGTAGGCAGTAAGCAGTGATACTGACAGGAAATATTGAAGGAAAGAGAAAGAGAAGCAGAGGGAGACAGCCATCATATACATGGATAAGTTCATTCAATTTTAATTCAATTTCAATTTATTCATGTTTCCAACAAAACATTACAAATCAATTATAAGCATTTAAAACAAAAGTAAGAAATACATGTTGGAAACAGAGGGGTCCACTAAAAAGCAATGCTTGTACAAGTGTGAACACCTCAAATGATACTTAGCAATAATGAGAATTAAATAAAATAATCCGGAACTACCAAAAGAACTACAAATTAGGGGAAAGAAATACCGATAGGGGGATGCCAACAGAGACGAGAAAGGGACAAGACAATGCTTTACACGACTGACTTGTAACAGAGGTAACGTCACATTACAAAGAACTAGAGATAGAAGTAGAAAGAAGCTTGATCGCCAATGTCTGGAACAGAAACAGGAAGAAGCTTGATCGCCAATGTCTGGAACAGAAACAGGAAGAAGCTTGATCGCCAATGTCTGGAACAGAAACAGGAAGCAGGTAAGTAGTAGTCAGAAAAGGGGAAAGAACAAAAAAGACAAGGGAATTTGACCAACCTGATAGTTCTCTACATGTTGGTGACTCCCAGAGAGCCTAGCTTCCAAAGATTCATATCTCTTACTCATAGTCTGCAGCTCAGACTGTGTCTGTTCCTTCTGTTGTGAAATAGCTACCATCTGATAAAGAGAATTCATTTACACTCATCAGTGACCCAATGATGAGTACAATAATAATAATAGCATTACATTCATATAGCACATTACACTATATATTTCAATGCTCCAATGATATTACGCCTAGGCTTTACTTCATCAATATATTATGATTAAAATCACCTTTAAGTTAATTAGTGTTTAGTCTTGGATTGAAGTTCCTAAAGGCAATAGACAGCAGAGCATGAGTTGTAGAATGTTCTGATAAATTACTTCAAAACATGCATAACCTGTAAACAAACATTTGTGTACCAATTTGTATATGGTACTAGTAATAACGTATGTATCAACCCAAACGTATGGTTCTCGTGCTTTTTCAACGGCAGCGCCTGTCTTGTGAAACCAACTTCATGACCAGCTTTGAGTTGTTGGGAGCACTGATAGCTGTGGAAGAGCCCTGAAAATCTATTTGTTTTGAGGGTTTCCTAGAGCTGCTTTGTCTTTTTGCTGGTTAGGAGGTGGGTTCGACATTATGGGTGTCTGTTTGTTTGTTGAATTTGTTATATGTAAAGTCAAATAGTTTTACTTACCGGTAGATGTAATTATAGGTGAATTGGTTTATTTTCCCATAAATATATTTTATTTGTCATTTGCTTATCTACTTTGTTATTTATTATACTGTTTATATATTCAAATTTGTCATGATTGTAAAGTGCATAGAGAAATTAATTTATTGTGCGCTTAATAAACATTCTCTATAGTTTACTGACAGATAGCTTATAGAAAGCTGTGTTTTGTGGATCCCGGTTCCTGTACTCTGGAGCATTATAGAACTAAAAATGAAATAATAATTTGTATAATATACCCCAAACATACCCCTCAAGGTAAAAACAAACCAAGGGAAAAACACTCGGCGGTCTTGCCTGCAATACACGATACGATATGATGAAAAATTGTGGTCGGGACATTATTTATAGGCAGGGTGGCTCATTAGCAGGCCCCCTAAAATGGAATCCTCTGAATATAATCAGCATTTTGGAGTGAATATTGACTAAGAATCATCAGAACAATAATTTACTATTATTTGTACCAACATTGATAACTTTCATGAAATATGAACAATTAACAAAAATCGATTTATTAATTCTCATATTAAGTTGTGAAAACATAATCCAAGTCTACTGACCTAAACTGACCTAGAATTTGTGTCATATGATTCGTGATACTTAATGTGCGTGAAATTGTACCTCATATTCAACTGTATTTATGAATTCACAACGGAGCTGACACGATGATGAGTAAGAAACACAAGGAACAGGCTCAAGTAAGAAATGGCCACGACTGAATAACACGTCACTCAATCAACTTTCCGATCTTTTGGAAATATTACTCCTTGAACCAAGTTTCATTAAAGATAAAGGTGAGTTCTTGTACAAAAAAGAAAATGAATTCTTTCAGAATCAAACAAAACTTACACTGGATGTTCAAGACTACAAATAAATGTCATTTGCAAAACAATTTTGGTAGAAAATGTATACTGGCTGAGTAATGAGCATAGAAAGATTAGGAAATCAAGGTTGGTAGCCCAGACACCATTTGTGTAGTCCCATATACATATTTCTGTATACAGTGATTGTTACTTTACCAAGACTGGGCCAAATTTATTATGATTATGATGACTCCAGCACTTTGCAGTACACACCAATACTTATATGCTACATGATCAAATTTTTCTGATCCATTCCACACCTTTTCTTTCACAATGCAATCGGATGACCAGAACTCACCCTTATCTTTAAATAAGAAGTTATACTTTCAAAATGATATCAACGTCACCGGAAAAGAGGCGATGTCTTGCTTTTTGATATGCAGGCGGAACAAAAACTGCGGCCATGAAAGCTGTAATCTTACCTGTTTCTTGTTAAGGTCAAGCTCCTTCTTAGCTTTCAGAGCAACTGCTTTCATCTTCTGGACTTTCTCTTCAGATTCTCTCACTGATTTCTTCAAAGAAACTGTGATAAAAGACAACACTAAATACTACAGCTAAACACACAAGACACAGTGTATAAGATAATCCAAACCCATGAACAGAAATCAACAATATCTTCAGATATTCCTCTCTTTGTGAACCAATTTTGAAATTAAGAAACAAATTTTATTACAAAAAGTAATCAATTACTGCCTAATGGACAACAATCCCATCTCTGCTAACAGAAATAGCGATTACCTTTTAAAGAAGAAAGTACATCAGTAGATAGAAAGATAGAAAGTCTTATATCAGGAGTGTGGTGCATACATCATGTTGGAGTGCATAATACTACACAAGGACTAAGATCGACCTAAAATTTTTGTCTTCATCAAATATATAAATTACTATTAAGATTTGTTTATTACAAATGTAACTATGTTTTGCATACATTTTACATTGTATTCGTTATTATGTATTGTATTTTGTTGGAAATGAAAAAATAAAAATGAAATGAAAAATGAAATGAAGTTGGACTAAACTATGGCAGACCATTCATGCCACTGGTTGCTCTCACCATTATGATCTTTAGAACATATTTTTTCCTTCAATAAAGAACTATCACATAATGTAAATTCTGTAGATTTGTGACCATGATTTGTACGTCCCTTGAGAGACCAATGCCAGTAAATGGTGAGATCAAACAGTGGCATGAAAGGCCTGCCATAGTTGAGTCTAACTTGAAAGTCAATCTTAGTCTTTGTGAAACACTCCCCAGAAGATGTAAAGGTGTTGCCAAAACAACCATCTACAAGCACCTCTCTTGACCCAGGTGAGGCAACTGAGTACCTGGCAAGATTATTCCTTGGAATGTATTTTGAACTGAAAAATAGTTGCCAGAGTGAAAGCCAGAGTAATAATTTGCAAAACTCTTTTGAAGTACTGATAGTCTTACCTATTTCTTGTTGGGTATCTTCACTGTGACTGGCTGATCTCTGCAGGGACTCCTCTTCCAACTGTCCTTTCTATAGAGACAAGGCAGGTTTGAAATAATTATATATTCATATAGCACACAATCCACCTGTTACACATTCCACCTGTTACACCAAGCATATTAGGAGAGCACTGTCCTTGATTTTATAGCCATACGGCATATGGTGAAGAAATCAAGTTAAAAAGATACCTAGCTCATAAATATTCATACTAGTAAAGACTTCTGCACACTTTACGACCTGACTAAGAGTAAATTGTACAGTATTTGACCGAGGTCCTGAATACTGATCATACATGTTAATAAATATTGCATGGTATCTCAGTAAGCCTTGTAGTGAGAAGTCAGAGGATTTAAGTGCTACTGGTCTGATGTCACTATAATTTGCTGCTAATCGGGCATTTTTTCTAGATAGAAGAATAAAAAAACTTAGCAATCTAAATATCTCTCCTGACGATGGATAGTCAACCTGTTTGAAACGTTGAGCCACTCCCGCCACCCATCCTCTCCAAGCGCTATAGTTCTCCTTAGAACTATAAGCTAAGAAAGATAACCAACAGTCTTTTCAGGACTACACACCCTCAAGAAAGATTACAGAGAGTCCTTTTCAGGACTCCTCAATCCTCCCTCTCTCTCACATGGTGCATCCGCAAGCCTACTGTACATCTACATCACCATGCAAGCCGATACTTACAAGCAGCATCATCACTATTTATGTAACAATTCAGGATCTTACATAGACTCACCTTTGCATTGAGTTCAGCTACTGTTTCTCTGAGTTGAGTCATCTGGTTAGTGACATCATCTTTCTGAGATCTTAGCTCCTCCACCGTTGATTTCAGACTCTCATTCTCAGTAATATGCCCATCTAGTTTAGACTAAGAGAGATAATATAAAGAATATATTTTTTTTTTACTTAAAATCAAATTATAACTTGGATTCAAGAAATTATCCATTAAAAAAAAGAAAATATATGTACATGTATTATGCATAAAATCGTCTTTCCGATAGCAAATGGCACTCAAGAATGGCTACATACTCCTTATTTCCAAACAAATAGCTTCCCCAGTTTTCAGTTCAAAATGATTTGGGAAGTAAATACTTTGACAACTTATGAAACATGAAATATATCCTTGAAGCAGTATAAAGAGTAAAATATTTTTTGGCAAGAAAACCTTAGTATAATCGTCAAATGTCAAGCATATCTCTTTGGAATAATTTCCCATTTAATTTGAGAACCATAACTTCCGTAGAGACCTTTAAATCCAAGCTGAAATCTTATCTTTTTCAACAATAGCTGTACTTGGCATGATGACACTCATCCAAACTCTCTCATTCTTTCTATTTTTCTTGTGCGCCTCGGAATAGAATTGTCTAGATAGACGGCACTATATAAATGCCAATTATTATCATTATCATTATGTTATTTTTGATAGCTGAAGTAATTCACTAATGCAGTCAGTCAAATCTTTGGAATGTTTATTATATATATATATAAATGCACATCCATTCTACATGAATCACATGCACTATGAACATGATGGACAAAGAAAGAGGACAAAATATACAGTTCCTCATTCTACCCTCAACAATTGCTGTGGTAGACAAAGAAACATCCCTTCACTGCTATTATGTAAACATGCGTAGAACAGGTGTCACATGCATATTCACCTGTGCTACACATTTTCATAGTGATGCATTCTTCTGATGAGCACACAAGACACTACAGAGAAGTACAAACCTGCATTGTTTGCATTTGACCTATCAGCTTCTGCCGAGTGACCTCTAGGTCATTGACTTGATGGGTGATGTCACTCTCCTTCTGACCCATGACCTCGTTCTGATGCATGGCTGTCTCCAAGTCAGCATAGAGGGCATTCTTCTCCGACAATACTTCATCCAGTCTGGACTGAAGGCTATCATTGGCATCTTGGAGTTGAGTGATAGTATCATTCAGTGCACTTATTTTATCTGTTTATAAAACAAAAATAGAATTCCTCCTTTTAATGAATAGTAAAGATGACTGAAAAGGATGGCTCAAGACCGAGGAACTTGAAGAGACACTTGATATGAAATTTTGATTGGGTCACTGAACCTGTCATAAACTGACAGATCACTATTGATGAAAGATGACTAACGTAAAGTTTGGAACATTTCTTTAAATCAAGGCACAGACCATGAAGCCCATCAATGACGCCCTCTCAAGGGCAACTAGAAAAGGTGTCAATAAAGACAAGTGCTCTTAGAACATATTTCAATGAGAAATACAGTTAAAGGGAAAACAAACTATATGCTCCTTATAGACAGGTTGTCGATTTAGCAAGTATGACTATCACATCTGTGCATGGGATGTTTCAATAACTATAACAAAAATATTTATAAATAGATAAAGTTAAGATCATTATGAATGGTGTAGGCATAACTAGGCGTTGTGGCGTGCGCCTGTAATCCAGCTAACAATGGAAGTTACAAACTGATTAAGTCGAGGACGCAGGTTTGAAACTGAGTCACGTCTTTCAGATGGTGACATTTAAAGGTCGGTCCCCAGACGTAAATAATCATATCTGATTGATACATGTCTGTAATACCCCAATACACACATGGTGTCAGCAGAGACTACACTGGGAAGCTAGTCTATCAGGTTTCATGTATACCTTGTAGTTGTATGAGCTGTGTCTCCTTGTTGTTGTCTCCTTGCTCCCTGGAGCTCCTCAGCTCCTTGATCTGTTCCTGCAGCTCCTGGACCTTAGCCGTGCTTGCTTTCTTCAGCTTCTCAAAGTTTGATGCATACTTCTCCTTGCTTCCCTCGAGCTCCAGGATCTTCTCTTCCAATCTCCTACGTTCCTGAACAGCTCCCTGCTCCAGCTCCTTCAGACTGGCCTGGTACGTCTCCTTCTCCTGCTCATGTAAGGTCATCTGGTCTTGAAGATCCTGCAGACGGGCCTGGTATGTCTCCTTCTCCTGCTCATGTAAGGTCATCTGGTCTAGAAGCTCCTGCAGACTGGTCTGGTACGTCTCCTTCTCTTGCTCATGCAAGGTCATCTGGTCTTGAAGCTCCTTCATGGTGGAGCTCATCTCTGTTTCAAGTTTGGTGATGCAAGCTTGGAGCTGCTCCTTCTGCTCTTGCAATTCTTCGATGATTTTCTTACCTACATATTAAAGGGTAAAACCAAAGAGTCCACAATAAAAACTTGATTATAAGACAACTACCCCTGGAGTAACCTACATTGGATAACTTTTTTTAAGACAACTACTCCTGGACAACTACATGCACCCCATAGGAAAACAAGCTTCTGGCACCACAACCCCCAAGGACAAATTTCACAGACAAAGATGTAGTTCAAAACAATTTTTTTTACCTTGATCTACCTCTTTCTGCAATGCTGTAACTTTCTTCTCTATTTCCCCTTTCTCCTGCTCCAGTTCAGCTTTTTTGGATTCCAGCTTACTTGCTCTTATATCATCTCCTTTACTCTGTCAAAGGAAAAACAAAATATATAAAAGAATGGAGAACATTTACATTTTTAAATTCTGAGCATTATATTTTCCTTGTTTCTATCTGTAATCTGTATTCTGAATAATCAATCAGGTAATAAATGAGAGTTCATAAAATGTAAAATAAATCATGAAAATTAAGGACAACAAATTTGAATGGTTGTTTTGTAAGTTTGGATGCCTAAACTCATTTTGGTGGATTCACAGCTATCATTCAACTTCCATCAAATTCTTTTGGCTGATGAATTCATTTAAATTTATGTATTTTTGTGTATTTCTTATAACTTCATAAACCTCCCTATTTCAATGGACACAGAGTTCATAACATTTTAAGGCTTTTTTCTTTCAACATAATTAGCTGTAAGTTTTTGTTTGTTGTTGTTTAAAAAAAAACTGTACCAAACATCCCTTTTCCGCTTTTATGCAAAGAGTAAATGTATTCATATTCATCTAGATCATGGTGAAATAGAATGCATGTGATGGTCAATTTTGCATGATTCCTACAAAGGCCAACTGTACTCACTGTAGAGCTCTGTGTATTCTGAAGGGTCTCCACTTGTTGTTGGTATTCTGAGCTTTGCTGCATGCTTTCAAGATGAGCCGTTCTGATCAGCATCAATTGTTCCTTCACTCCATCCATCTCTTCCTTCAACTCTTTCATCTCCTCTTCCTTCTTTTGAGCATCTTCTTTTGCAGTTCCCAGGGCTAATTGTAATTCTTCTTCTTTTCGGCACATCTCCTCTATCTTCTCATTATCTCCTTTCATCATAGTGTGTTTCAGAGCTGTCAATTCCTTTTCTAGATCTTCCACCAACTGCGCCTTCTTTCGTTTCTCCTCTCTGGATGACTCTAAAGCGCCCTCAAGTTCTTCCTTGCTCCTCGCCAATACTCCCTCTGCTTCTTGAGCCATTAATTCAAGCTTCTCCTTCAAATCTTTCATCTCTTCATCCTTTCTGACAACATCTTCTTTCATTTCCCTGATGATTTTCTCAAGTTCTCCCTTGGCGTTGGTGAGGTCCTCTACCAGTTTGTTTTCCTCGCTTGCCACACCTTCCCCGACACTCTTCAATTCTTCTTTCATCCTCTCAGCGTCTCCTACCGCAGCAGCAAGAGATTCTTTCAGCGAACCTTCGATCTTGGTCATTTCTTCTTCCTTCTTCAATTTGTCTTCTTGTAATTTCTCAAGTTGTTGCTCTTTTTCTCTAACTGATCTCTTTATCTCTTCAAGTTCAGCCTCATTTGCAGTAACTTCCTTCTGAAGGCACCCATAACTCAGCTCAAGCTCTTGAAGACTATTTTTAAGACTGATCTTCTCTTCTGTGGTATCATCAAGTTGCTTCTGGAGAACTTGATTCAAATCAGTCTGACCTGATTTCAAAGACTCAAGTTCTTCTGACAGACGTGTTCTTTCCTCTGCAGTCTCTCTCACGCTTGCTGTTAATCTTGAATTGTCTCCAGACAATCTCTCCCCTTCAGTCTTTAAGCTGTCCTTTTCTGCACCAAGCTCTGTCAGTTGACCCTTAAGAGTGTTCAGCTCTTCCACCTGGACTCTGAGACGTGACATATCTTCTTCATATTCCTCCATCTTCCTCTGTTCTCGTTCCTTCTCTCTCTCCCATTCATGAACTTTCTCCTCCAAGACATTAGCTCTGGCATTAGCCTCATCTTTGGTTACGATGAGATCTTCCTTCTCTTGAAGAAGTCCGGCTATGTCTTCGTTCATCGTCTTCAGTTCTTCTCGCAGCTGTTGAGCACAACCGGAGGCTTCCTCTGACGTCTGCATCAGGGTCTCAAGGCGTGTCTTATATCCCTCTTCTGCATCTGTAAGTTGTTTCTGGAGATTCTCTACCTGTTCCTGTAACTCTACCCCAGCCTTCATCATCACTTGCTTTTCCTCCTCCATGATCTTCAATCCCTCCTCTGCCTCCTCACTTGCCTTTCTTGAAACATCCTCTATTTCCTTCTTCTCCTCGTTGATACTCTTCAGCTCTGACTTCAAAGAATCCATCTCCTGCAGCATGGTCACCTGATCTTCCTGGAGACAAGAAATCTTCTGGGCATGCTCATTTTTCTCTGAGATGACTTCATCTAACCGTCTCTTGGTCTCGTCATCCTTGCTTGATTCTGACGACATAGATTGTTTCAAGGCTTTTAAGGATTCAATGGTCTGATCTCTGGCTTCAGTCAGGATTGTGATTTGCTCTTTCAGACTCTGTCAACAAAAAGTAAGAAAAAGTAGATGGCATCAATATTATAAAAGAAAATGTTTTCTATGAGAATGTATAGTTGCTCTCAATAGTGCACATACCGTTAACAACAAAATTATTCATACCACATGAAATCTTTTTTTTTTCTTCTTCGTAATTTAAGAATGAAAGGTGGACTGGTTGAATTAAGACCTTGCTAAATACTTTATAGATGTAAACTTTAAAATGCTACATTGTTAAGAAACATAAATCTAGACAAATACAATTTTCACATACCGGTACTTACGATTTAAAAAACGTGGTAATGGTATGAATAACTTAGTGGTTAGCAACTATACATGATCATAGAAAATAACATTAACATTTTACATAATGAAGCAATAATCACTACACATATGTTGGTATAATTTAGCCTGCTTTTCAGAATACAGGCCAATGAAAATTGGTATGATCTAATCTAATTCTGAAAATACAGGACAATGGTTTTATAACTCACCTTATTCTCGCTTGTGATTGCTTGTTGATCTTCTTGTAAACATTGGAATGTAGTTCGCATTGTCTCTTCTTTCATCTCCATGCATTGAATCTGTTCCTCCAAACCCTGCAGCAAATATAATATACCCGGTAGTCACATCAACTCATACAATGTACATTGCTTTAAAGCTAATCTTGAGCTCTGGTATGGGAATCATGGAGAACATGGCTATATTCTATAATTCATTCTGGATTGTTTATCCAGCAGTAGATTGGTTGTTTGAACCAATAAAAACCTTCAATAAAATCCACAACTCTCATTTGTACATAGTGACCTGTGTTATTTACATTGTGTTAGGCCTACTTACCTTGATTTCCTTATCATTCTTTGCTCATTACTCAGCCACGTTTGGCACATGTCATTTATTTGTATTATTGAACATTTAATGCAAGTTTTGTTGGATACTGTGAATATTTATTTTCTATCATTACCAGAACTCGAGCTTTTTCTTGAACACTATTTCTCATAAAGACAAACTTAAAGACAAACTGAGTTCAGTTCAAGTTCAAGTTCAAGTTTTATTTCCACATGTGGTTCATAAAAAACAACAATTTTACATACATGTTCAGACGTATAAAAATACACAATTAACAAACAATAATATTAAGATAAACAAAAAGCGAACAAAATCTAAGAACAACTAAATACATGTAGATATAAAAAAAAACATGTGGGGGGACCAACAAAGGCCAGGGGCCTGTCGAGGCTAATCCCCAGAACAATATTAGATTTTTTGGATATTTTATATATAAAAACAAATAAAAAACAAAAACAAACCAAAAACCCACAAACAATAGCGACGTAAAGTACATGATAAAACAAAATTAAGTTGGCAAAATGAGTATCAAGATCACTTCCCTTAGATGGTCTTTCTAAATGGGCTTGACTGATATTATTATTGTTTACCGTGTGGATGGAACAATAATTTGCATGGCCATCTTAAAACAAGTTACCAAATGTATAATGTGGTAGGAATGAAGCTTGGAATTCTACTCATTTAGGTTGAATAATAATCGTGAATATGAGCAGGAACGCTCAAATTCAAACATTACTCCAGACTCTACACAATGAACTGTCATAGCAAGCTATAATGGGAAAGTTCAATGAGAAATAATTAAGAAATAAACTAGATGGATCTTCGACTGAGCACAGTTGAAAATGTAAACCAAAATGGAAGCAATTTTAAAATTAAAGTTTGATTGTAATCCATAACAAGTTCTCAGAATATCGTGACTACACGCTATCTTTCATATACAGTCAAACCTGTCTACAGCGACCACCCAAGGGAAACACAAAAAGTGGTCTTTGTGGACAGGTGGTCTTTATAGACAGGTTCCTTTAGTACATGATTCAATGATTTATGATGACATGATTTAAATTATCTTTAAATCCATCAACAAAATAAATTCTCCTCGTTTACCCATCATTACAAAACTCGATAATTTTCTGTACTGTTTACTTTTTTTTGCTTCCATTTATTGAAACGTTGATTATAACCTTCCATGACCTGGTATGAATACACGTATGAATAGAGAGTGGCCTACTTGGGATACTGAATAAACACTGTCTTCTATACAAACATTTCAAGGCTCTGACTCGCAGGCCCAGGTTTAAAACCAGCTGGCTGATCTTACTTTCACATTCTTACTGTCCGAACCTTGAGAGTCTTCTCATTCTATTGTATCCCAAGTTGGCCACTCAGTATTCAAATTTGCATTTCTTTTCTTATTTAAAATCTTTATATATCAATTTGAAATCCAACTACCACATAAGTCTGTGAATATTGATGTGCATCCCCTCTTTCTTTTCTCTTCTTTTTTTCTGTCTTTTCCCCCTTTTTACCAATATTTTGTTCTTCCATATTTGTATTATTATGTATCCTTTGAGGGTAGTCATACTATCAAGCTTTGCTTATTTTGTCAACCCTCCTGTTTGATGTTCTCGATTAGTTACACCCAGCCTTACCTTATTCTACATATATTCTTTTGTCATGTGTAAATTTGCAATATTTGTTGTTATATATTTGTAAAAATGCAAAAGAAAAAGAAAATCAAACAGAAATAAATAAATCAAATCAAATCAAATGATTCAATGAGAAACCATTTTCAAGGAAAACAACAAATGTGGCCTTTGTAGATAGGTGGTCACTAAAGCAGGTTTGACTGTACATGTATGACCCTTTGATCTTTGACCTCATGACCCTAAAATCTAATCAGTTCATTGGCTCTGCAAGATACATACATGTCATGAGTTTATTTTGCATACATAATGAGCCCCATGACCTTTGACCTCGTGGCCCTAAAGTATACTCAGCTTATTGTCTCTGCAAGATATAAACATGACCCAAGTTTGGCGGGAATCTATAAATCGGTTCTAGAGATAACGCGATCACGAGAACGGGACGTACGGTCTGACGGACAACCCGAAAACATGCCTCTTGTCTACTTTGGTGCGGAGGCATACAAACCTTAGCCATATACATCCACAATCTGAGTATGTCTATTCATAAAGAGGTTTATATTATAGTACTCACCTTCATCTTGGAGTTAGCCTTCTCTAGTTGAGCTACAGCAGCCTGCTGTTGTTTCTCAGCTTCACTCCTCTGGTCTGATGCGGCATTCAGAGCCTCTTGCAGAGTCTACAGAGCATCAAAACAAAAGAAAAGTTTGTTAACCTCTTCCTTGCCACCAGGGGTGATAGCACTATGAACATGACGGACAAAGAAAGTGGACAAAATATACAGTTCCTCAGGTAGACAAAGGAACATCCCTTCACTGCTATTATGTAAAAAATTGTAGAACAGGTGAATTGCATGTGACACCTGTCCTACACATTTTTACCTAATAGCAGTGAAAGGATGTTCCTTTGTCTACCTGAGGAACTGTATATTTTGTCTGCTTTCTTTGTCCGCCATGTTCAAAGTGTAGTGAGCACTAAAAAAAAAAAAAGTAGTTTTTTTCCTCAACCACGCCCCCCCTTGAGTAAAAAAAAAGAAGAGGATTCGGGGGAAAAATGGTATCGAACAACATTCCTCCTTTTGAGTAAGAAAATTGGGATAAAATCTGGAAGAAAAAAAAAAAAAAAATGGGATTAAAAAAAAAAAAATCTGGTAATTATAAGGCCTGTGCCACTAAGTGATTCATTTTGTGTACAAAGGCGCATGCAGGGAGTTCACTGAATTTAACGACATTACCAGAATACGCCTTTTAACACAAATCGCTATTGTCTTGAAGTTGACACCGCGAAATCAGCCTTTTTGTTACACCAATCTTTACTTGTGTCCCTGGCAATGATCAACATCGCGAACTCTTGGCAGTGGAAAATGTTTGTGTAATGTAAATCTCATATTAATTCATTATCATCAGTAACATGTGGAAGGTCAGCAAAGCTGCATCACTCCAGTAACAAATTTCCCCATTTTTCATTTAAATTCTTGGCCGATACCAAGTCGGTAGAGCAGTGGTTTCGTTATCCGGTGACCCGGGTTCAAAACTAAGTCGATGTGCTAGTGCCCTTTGGTAAGGCATTAATCCTCATTACCAGGTCCCTCAGAGAGGACCTAAACCTGTCGGCCGTCTGGTTGTTGGTTTGTGCTTTCTTAGCAGTCAGGTAAATTAACACAATACAATACAATACAAAGTGTGTTGGACGAGATAAAGAAGAGTCCTCCAGTGAACTCAAAGATAGTTTGCAAGGTTTGTTGTGTTTGGGAATGACTAGCTCTGTAGTTCAAATGCATGCTAACTAAGGCTTGGTGATATCAATATCATATTTCATGGATCACCATTCTCTTAAGGCTCATCTCTTGCATGACATATACACAACTGCTCTTTGCTGGATATACATTAAACAAACAACCACCATCATACCATACTCCAGCAAAGCATAGAGAGTCATTGCTAATATGTATTACATACATACCACTGCATTACAAGTTAATAGGCAGCATTTGAATACATGAATAGTCAATATACTCACAACAAACAAATGCACACAATCATGCCGATGCGGCTGATCGGCAAGTTTGACAGTAGACTTACAATTTGAAATTTGAAATTATTCTTTCTAACATCGGAAAGTAGAAAAAATTGTATCTTACTGCTTTTTAGGTGTCATCAATTATCACTAAAGTACCGATTTTTAGTGAAATCAGTTGAGTTTTGTACAGTGGTGTTTGAAATGTTGAGAATCAATAGCACAGCTTTTAATACACAGCCAGGATAGTAATGCAACTATGTGTGATCATATCATACCTCTTGTACTTCTGCTGCCTGAGCAAGCTGTTGCTGGACGGCATTATATGCTGCTTGTACTCCCTCATTCTCCTCTCTTAATTCTTTCAGCTCTTCCTCCATCTTACTTGTCTTTCCATCTGACTCCGCTGATGCAGGGCTACTTTTCTTCTCACTCTGAAGCTCTGCGTTCTTCTTTGCCAAATCTATGAGGTAACAAATAAATAGTACATATCAGTCACACAGGGTTAATTAATACTTGGGAGTTATGAAAAAATCGCTGCCACATGCAGGTCTGAGAAACCACAGTTATATCAGTGCCCTTACAAAAGCTTTGGTGCAATAAATGGCCAATTGACAATTCTTAAATTCTTTGTCTTTGTCTCGTTTTTTCTGGGACGTACTGTATCCATGAATAGAAATTCTACTTGTGAGCAGCTGTACCAATATAAACGCTAGGACTGGAATTTGCAGAGTACTACCACAGAAATTAGAATTTACATTCTACTCTTTACATAGCAGTGAGTAAACACTGCCAGTCAGCTGTCTAGCCATAAAGTAAGACAAGTGTGTTATTCCATGAACTGCATTCATGTACAGTCAAACCTACTTTGATGAACACCTCTATAGAAAGACCACCTGTCTACAATGATCACATTTTTTGTTTCCCTTGAAAATGGTTTCTCATTGAAACTTGTACTTTACCTTTACCTTTACCCGAGATTCTGGAAGAATGCTGTGTTCTCAGCATTACTAAAGGAACCTGTACATAAAGACCACCTTTCTTGTCTCCCTTGGGTAGTCTTTATTGACAGGTTTCACAATATTATGGAGAAATTAAAACCATCTGCACATAGGTTTTGCACTCCACTTGTGTTGTGTCTAGAAATATTTATACTTGCACAGTACATCAAAATACATGCATCTGTAGACCATTTTTGTACACAAGTCAAATCAAATGCACAAAACTTTAAGTGTCTTGTTTCAAATTATTTCATTGACCTGTCGAGAATACTTGTATTTCAATTGTCAGAATGCAAATTCCATACATTAGGTGTTGCTGACACTATGAACATGACTGACAAAGAAAGCGGACAAAATATACAGTTCCTCAGGTAGACAAAGGAACATCATTTCCCTGTTATTATGTAAAAATGTGCAGAACAGGTGTCACATGCATATTCACCTTTTTACATAATAGCAGTGAAGGGATGTTCCTTTGTCTACCTGAGGAACTGTATATTTTGTCCGCTTTCTTTGTCTGTCATGTTCATAGTGTGGGTAGGACAAGCCATAATGTTAGTTGTACAATAGGCCATTTTCGTAATGTAACCAAATTTAATGCATTTGTGAAGTGCCTCAATATAAATTATTTCATTCACCTGGTAAGAATTATAGTATTTCAATAGACATAATCCATACTGCATACATTAATCGTTGCCAGGTCGGACAAACATTATGGCTTGACCTACCTAGCAACACTTGATATATGCAGTTTGCATTCTGACTATTGAATTACTATTATTCTTATCAGGTGAATGAAATAATTTGGCACAAGGCACTTAACAAAGATTTGTGCATTAAATTTGATTCATTATGAAAATGGTCAATTGCCATTTTGAAAGTCAAGGAGGATACAACTTGCAATGTAAGCAACTTACATGCACACCCCTTGTCCTTTGTACTGTATATGAGCCTACCTTCACATTTAGCTTTCATCTTCTGAACCTGCATGGCTTGTTTCTTGACATACTTGATTAGATCTTCCTTAGGTAGACTCTCCAGCTGATAAAGAAAATTAAAAGAATTAAAAGCTTAACACTAGCATATTATAGCATGACTATGCACCCTCACCCAACAATAATCTAAAGAGCCACTATATTGAACAGATGATAGAGGTTTAACATCTTAATGTGTAATATTGCAAGAGAAGAAACTTAGCTGTATCCAGAATAATACAGTACCGACATACATTGGAAATTGATACAACTTGCAATGAGTGTACGAGACATGAGCGAAATCAAGGATTTTTATAAAGGATCTACGTCAAAGTTACCGGATCCCTTTAAATTTTCTGTTGTTTGACTACTCACCTTGCCAGCCTTGGGGGCAGGGGACTGTTTAGTGTCCCCTCCCTCCTTTGCACTGGGTGATGCAGCCTGAGACATCTCAACAGGCTTGGCTACAACTGATCACAAGTATGGCACCATCACCTACACAAGGAGATCAACAAAAACAACATACACATTCAGAACAATAATAACTTCCAACATAAAAGTAAATTTACAGGAAAGCTATTTGAACAAATGGGTTGGAGGCTCTTTGTGAACATTCTACACATGAAATATTACCACTTTCCGGCGTGTGACTATGGTATCTGTCTAAACCTATATGTTGTTGATGACCCACAGCAATTTACTCCTGCTACTCTGTTACCCCTGCATCCATGCTTGCCTTCCGAAATTCATAATAACTTACTTCTACTATCGCTCTTTTTCCTACATAAAATTGATGCTTCTCGTTCTAAGACTCTCCAAAGCTCCTAACCGGTCGGATTATAAACATTTACTTTATTTGGACTCCAGGAATCTCCAAAACAGTGGAGGGATCAACTAAGAAGAAGAAGGTATGATGACAAAATGTGGTTTTATAAGTCTGTTTTTTAAAACAAACTTGCTTCGAATTTAAGTAAGAGAGGGCCTTCTTAACTTAACTCTTAAGCGCAACTTAAGTTCAATGGAAATGTCAATACGTAATATTATGTCACACCATGGAGATTTTGACATGTCATACTTTAAACAGGTAACGCACTTCACACATAACTGACGCAGACAACATAAAATAGACAAATCAATGAACATTTCAGAATAAATTTCCAGTTTGTACCTTAAATATGACGAAAATGAGAATTTTTCAAACTTAAATATAGTTACATAAGACTTAAACTTAAGTGAAATACTTAACAAGTGAACAACTGTCGATATCAGAGACTTGAGCTTTCGGTTTAAGCCAACGCTTACCCCGAGCCAAAGGAGGCCTGCGCTGCGCGCCAGCCCGCCGGGTTGGTCGGCTTGAAGGATCGTTATTCATATAGCATCAACACAAGCTAGGCGCGGCGCAATAACAATCACTCTAGTCTAGAATCTAGTGTCACTGACTCAGTATCTCCACACTAAGTGACTATGTTTACTCAATACATACTTCACCACCAGTTAAAATAATCAAATGACATCTCACATCAAGCGATAATGAATTATCAGAGTAAGATTAGAAATAAGTATATGAAATTAAAGTACCTGATCTGAAAATTGGCAAAACGACTTCCTAGCTACGTCATACGTGGCTTAATTTTGGCCATAGAGTCTACATGTAGCTTATTTTCATATTTACTCTCTCAGTTGTTCTACGGCAAGCCAAGTTACCAAGTTTGAGAATGGTTGTGACAATAATGACAGTACATGACCGATATATGTTGTAAAGTGTCACTCTGATTGATGTTTTAAATCTAAAAAAGATTAAAATGATGATTTAGATAACATTTTGACAATCCTCAACTATTACTGTACTTATTAAATAATTCTTATTTTAATTTGCCTCCGCCTTATTTGGCATTTCATAACTAAGTTGGTGCCATAAAAAGTTAAATCTTCTTCAAAAAGACTTTATCCTCCCATTTTTACAGAGTAATAGTTTAATAAAAACAAATTTAACAACCATTTTGATTCCGGGCATTGCTTCAAAGCTATTTACCTATCGACGATAAAGTTTCTCTGCACGAGAAGTCTTCCAGTTCCACGGCCCAGATGACCAAGGTTTTAGGCAAATTCTTACTCCTAAGTCCCACACGTAGACTTGATTGTTGCCTACCAGTGCCTACATTAGCAGGGCGTTCAAATACAAATCTGAACTCACGATCACGACTTTTTTCATCGGGAGCAACCATGGCCGATTTCCCTCTTAAGTCTTACTCTGCAGCGCCATGGATGGAGAAATTGAAGCATATTCCAAGGCATAGACTCGAGGTGGGTGTGGGGGAGTGCAAGTAGATTTTTCAAACTTCAATAGACTATCGAACTTTCATTTTTTCAAAGAGGAAAATGAAAATGAGTTGTCAGTCCTGCACATTTCATGAATGTTGCACAATCTTTATGAATTCAATTATGAAATATGAAGTCTGTGCTTTTACTAGTTTTACTAGTATAATTATTGTCTAAAATCTATGATGAAATGGAATTGTGTAAACGTTGTCCTTTCTTCAACTAGTTTGTAATTGTATTGTGCCTGAAATTTGAAACACTATGAGTATGAGTTTATCATGATGAAGACTAGACCCTAGATCTAATTATTTTTGCAAAAAAAATATTAAAAATCCCCTTCACCTTTTCATAGCAATGACAACTAATTAGTAATTACATTACTTCATAGTAGGGAGGCCAATGCCCGGGCGTAAGGCTTCTACACCTACGATTTGTGCGCTCGTCGCCCACTTCAAAAAATTAGCAAAGGGAAAAAAATGATGTAAAAATAAAAATTGAAGAAAATATGAAAAGAAAATACAATTATACATTTCACAACATACCTATAATCACGGATCTGTAACAGTCTTTCACCATTTGTTGACAATCTTGCAGATTTTGACGTTTTTTAATCCAATAATTGTGGTTGCAGACGACCTTGACGCACTCGCACCACCGACTAAGAAAATCCTAGAGGGCGTAGAGGTTTGCTCACTAAAAACCTTCTCATTGGCAGAAGGTAGACCCTAAAAATATGGGATCCGTTTTGAGTAAAGAACTTTTGATAGAGATCAACATTTCAGATGTTCACAATTGCCACTTCTAACAACTAGAAAATATAAAGAAAAAAGATTATATCTTTTTAAATACAGATTTTTACAAACTGAACATTCGAAAGTAGATAGAGTACGATGTTTCTGTCAATCTTGCGTTGGTTTGAGCCCTATAGCTACATCCATCTCAAAATGAGAAGGAAAACAGTGAACAGTGACGTCATTGTTCGCGCCAAAAATAAAGGGTATTGCGACATAATCTGAGCTCCGGTCAGAGCGTGCCCAAAGCGTAGTCTTATTTATAGACCCTAGTACCTTATTCTCACAGCACTAGATACGAGTGTCGTGCAGTAATGTATGAGAAGTGTTAAAAAAGATATTTCAGTAAAAAAAAAAGTCTACGTGAGCAGTCTATACTCCAATTGAGAATTGAAATGAAAGCCATGATTTGAAGGTGTGTGTTGTATATGATACATGGTTAGTGAGTGTGTATGTTACGTATAGCGAAAGGGAGAGAGAGAGAGAGAGAGAGTGAGAGAAATATTAGTACACGTACGTTGCATGCATGGATGTGCGCTATGATTGTGTTCGCTGCAAGATGGATTTTAATTGGACCTCGTAACTTCTCGATCGTTGATAATAAGGAATACTCATGAGGAAATCAAATTATTGGAATACACATCTAAGGTAAATATCAATGAATTATATATATTTCTTTCCTTTTTTGAACCATCGTCTTCGGCTCGTAGTAGTAGAAGATGTAATCGTTCGCACATTGATGGCTGGACTTCAGCCTGCATCGGGGCTTGCCTGTGTCGGTGGAGGGATCAACTAAGAAGAAGAAGGTGTGTACGTGTGCGACCGATTCAAGGCTAGCCGCTGTTGAGTGATTGCACTTTCGCGCGAAGTTTTAAACTTCATCATGAACTTTGTCCCTCGGGCCTGTCTAATTATGAACGTAACTTTGCGACATGAAATATAATTGTTTCAAGGCTCTTACGTACGGAAAGGCGTAGAAGGAAATGGCTACAAACCAGCTGGATATCTCCTATTTGATGGAACCTATGGAGTCGGCAGATGGGTGGATTTTCTTAGTGAAAGTAAATGCTTTCTTTTAATCTTAGTTTTAGTATAAACAAATTAGTAATTAAAAAGTTAGATTTGGGCATTGGCCTCCCTATTCATAGTGTATTCCAGGCAATTTAATGGATGGACAAGTAAATTTCATCTTTGGTAGATGTAAACCTAGTCTATTCTCAATTGTTTTTCTTTCAAAAGCATTCTACTCACATCTGTCATTTGTGTTAGTATTTTGTTGTTGTGTGTGTCTGATTTATATTCTTCAATCTTCAGTGCAATACAATGCATCTAATAATTGAATATTTGAAGTCAATCATGATTTTGATAACTGTACATCACTAATGATGATATCCATTTATTTGCTATTATAAGAACCCTTCAAAAGACAGATTGCAATGTTCCTACAAAATATTTTAGAAAGAATGATGTTTTTTTGTTGATTAAAACTACAATGTACATCTTACTTCCAGGACCCAACAGTTGGAATATTATTTGTTTCAACATAATAGTTGTTGATAATGCTTGTAGTGTAGTTTATATGAAAGGGTATTCTATGTCTTATATTATTGTGAGTGATTGGTCTAAATCAAGTGCTGATAACTATGAGTCAAACTGACCTTGAAAAGGTATTTTGATTGAAGACAACTCCTCTCTAACTGTCTTGAGATTATTGATTCTGATTTGAACATTCATAATTTACTACCTATTTCATGTGAACAATATCTGCTTTACTCAAAAGGGTTATTTCTTATTTCTCCCTTACTAGCTTGCCATGCTGAACACCCCCATACACAGATGGAATCTTCCTGGAACACCAGCAAACTTTGACGTTTTCATTAAGAGAGATGACATGACAGGGAGCTCATTGTCAGGAAATAAGGTACGGACATGCTAGCTATTTTGTGTGATGATGCTGATATTGTACAATTTGTATTACGGTACTATATTAGATTTTACAAAGCACTTACAATTTCTTGCCTTATGTCAGGCCTAAAAAGTGTTATTAGATATATGCCACAATGATCAAGAGCTAAGCCTTTTATGGCTTTAGAGAGAGAATAATACCATCTAACTGTATTTATCTATTCATTTTTGCAATGACTTGCTCTTTGCCCATATTTTGATTTCGGATGTTTCATTAGTTTGAGGCTAAAGTGGATGTTGACTAATTATTGTTTTTGACGTTGATCTGTAGTAGTTACAGTTAAATGTGTATCATGCGTTTATTGTGACGGTTGATAAGATGGTATGAATACAGAAGCAGAGAGACCTCTAATGAAGAAGGGAAGAGGGCCCGGCCCCCCCCCCCCCACTCCGAGAACGAACAGACCCCATGCGTGTTGCCAAAATGTCCTTTTCGTAACAAAAGAAAAAGGTCGACCCGTATTGACTTTACACACCGGACTTTTGCTGAAAAGGGGGGGGGGGGGGAGGGGGGTGCTGAAAAAGGCTCGTATACAAAAGAAAAAGGTCGAGGCGTATTGACTTTACACACCGGACTTTTGCTGAAAAGGGGGGGGGGGGGGGGGGTCGGTTGGAACACGCATATGCGTACCCTAAATAACACTGAGTGGGGGGGGGGGGCGGGGAAGAGGGAGGGAGAGAGTGAGAGACAAACACATAGAGAGCAACAGAGAGACAAACATACAGACTTGGAAAGACAGTAAGTGCTAGGAGAGACAGAAAGAGAAAGTAATGGAGAGTGATAGAGAGAGAGAGAGAGAGAGAGAGAGAGAGAGAAGGGGAAGAATAAGGAAAACCATGAGAATAATGTTCTTGAAAGCAATACATTCTCATTTATTTTAATATATATTTTTAACAAAAACTATAATAGATGTTGATTATGTATGCCCTTTTCTTCTCTCTGTAGATTCGTAAGCTTGAATTCTTGTTAGCAGATGCAGTAAGCCAGGGTTGTGATACAGTGATAACGTGTGGTGGAGTAAGATCCAACCACTGTAGAACCACAGCCGTAGCAACCAGACAACTTGGTATGGACTGTCATCTCCTTCTCAGATCAGAGGCAACAGTAAGTAAAAACAAAAAATCCTGCCCCCCCCCCCCCCACTCAGTGTTATTTAGGGTAAGCATATGCATGTTCCCTCCTTTTGAAAACACCCCCCTAAGTCCGGTGGGTAAATTCAATACGGGCTGGAATTTTGTGTACTACGAGCCGGACTTTGGTGCTTGAAAACTACCCCTTTACCGGACATTTTGGGAACATGCATGCGATCCCTCCGACCCCGAAGTGGGGGGGGGGGGGGGGCAAAAAATAAAGAAATGGAATTGTTGGTTGATCTATTTCCTAGCTCTCTGCATTTGCCTTTAAACAGACTCTCTAACAACCCTTGTTGAAACCGAGTTGTGTCTATTTGATGGTGACATTAAAGTTTGGTTGTCAGACAGTAACTAATCAGATCTGATCGATGGTTATTTTCCCAACTACACACAAATACATGTATTTACTGAAAAGAGGCATATAAAGGGTTCACTCTTGACTCTTTTACTCTGTATCCCCCAGTACAACATGGGTGATCTCACATCCTAATCATGTAGAATGTTATATTTGTTTGATTTCCTTTTATGAGAAGAAGATATACCAACTACATTTGTCAAAGTTGTCATTTTGCTTTAGATTCCATTGGTTATCACAAAAAGACAAATAAAGCACTTTTGTACTGACTTATCACCCTTAGTTTTGGTTATTTTGATTTGATTTGATTTGATTCAAGATTAAGGATACATGTCTGGGTATCTCCAGTTGAATTATGTAGTATATTGCTTCTTTCTGTTTCTCCACTCTCCCTATCTCTCTCACATTTTACCACAGAACCTAGATGGATCATTCACAGGCAACACATTGCTAGACAGTATGGTTGGATGTAGTTTCTATCTCATACCCAAGAAATCTCAGTACAACACACACATCTATCCCAGAATGCAACAGCTTGTAGAGTATCTAAGGCAAGTGATGATGAATCGCCATGTTTATTATTCTTATCTCTAGTCATTACGCTTTGATTAATGCAGGATGCATGATGGGACTGTAAGATTAAGCTTCTGAAAATTTTGCCAAAAATATTTCTAGGGGAGAAACGGAGGAGGGGCATGCAATGAAATATATAATTTACTTGCACTTAATTCAGACTATACTCAATGGCCCGTATTCTGAAGTCAGGTTTAGTTAAACCTAGGTTTAACTTTAAACCCGGGTTTAACTAAGCCAGACTTCAGGTCTAAGTATCATTTCAGTTTCTGAAAGCCAGGTTTAGTTAAACCCAGGTTTAAAGTTAAGCCAAGGTTTAACTACCATGGAGATGTAGTCTGCTTCTACTGCACATGCTCAGTACAGCTCATCCATCTTCAAGGGTAGCTGATATAGGCTTTTTTATAGCTGGATTTCGTGCTGCAAATTTAATAACTTCAATTTAAAATATTCGACACAAACAAATCTCTTTCGAAGCAACCATTGAACGTTATGACCTGATTTTTTGTTTTGTTTTACCCTTTGATTTATTGTTAAACTGCTGAAAAAGTCTGAATCGAGGTGGAATTGTTCTTTACGAAAAATAAATAATACAAAAATCAGGATTCTACAATTTCTGTATGCCCAGATTGGTCAAAACTTCCAGAACATCATACAAATGCTCTAAATAAGATTTAAATGACTAAAAGAGAAACTAAAAACGATCAAAAATACCTTCTTGATGCAAAATAGCTAGTCCAAAGTCAACATTGCAGAAGCTTATTTGTTTGATTTTTAGTTTTTTTTAGGACAATGGAATCCTTTTTCGAACCGACGTGTCGGGTATTGGATACCTCGGGTATCACGATCTCCTTCTTGGTCACCGTGCGCGCATCATCGATCGTGCGCGCATTCATTCGTTCAAGTAAGTTTAGAAATATTGCATTGTCCTAAAAAAAAAACGCTTGAAATTCGACCATATTATATGAGCTTCAATGTTGACTTTGGACTAGTTATTCTGCATCAAGAAGGTATTTGTGATCATTTCTCTTTTAGTCATTTTAATCTTATTTAGGTCTAGATCTAGATATCTAGATCTAGATCTAGACCTCTAGTGCATCTTTCGGGGCATCTTTAGGATGTTATGGATGTTTTGACATCATAATATTAATAGACTAGGCGCGCCTAATCGGTCTAGAGTCTAGACTAGATCTAGGGCAGAAATTGTAGGATTAGATTCTACCCAAAACTCTACTAGGTCTAGAGTTCCGGCTTAACACACTCGTTGGCTCTTAATTATGCTAATCCATGATAATCCATTATAAATATAGATTTAGCTCTTCATTAATTTACTCTTAATTCTAATTCAACCTTAGGCCTAACTTTTACAGTTTTATTTTAACTCGCGCTTGTTTACATCGTTGGGACGCAATTCAAAAATGTGCATTGCACTCACAGTTTCAAAACTACGTGAGCATAACGTCAAACAAAAGGTATGGGGCTACTATATTTGTTTTCCTCTGCAACAAAGTGATACGTGTTGTCGATTTACTTTGGCAACTTTTTAGTTTCAAGTATTGTCGTACTATACAAATCACACAATCTTATATAAAATATAAAATCTTAAGACTTAGGCATAAAGATTCAATAAGCAAATGAAGTATCCAAATTAATGTTCAAACTTGCCGAAGGCATAAAATCGCAAGGCCCACTTTCATCCGCAACCGATGTGTGTGTCACCTTTTACTGTTGGAGTCAGTGCAAATCGCTGTTTGTTTGGTATTTAAAAACCAACAGCGATGCACAAAAATCATCGTCGCAATGATTATGAAAGGTTCTTTTCTTTCCACAAGAGGTCTCTCCGGTCTCATTATTTGCAATAATTCGTCGTAATGCCTTTTAATGGTGTCTTCTTCTCCTCTGAATTTCCAACAAATAGTTAGACCTGACTTAAGCCAGACTTAAACTAGGTGTACCCCAGGTTTAGATATGTGTACAATTTCCACAGAGTTAGACCAGGCTTAAACCTAGGTTTAAGTTAAACCTGACTTCAGAAACGCAAAATTAAACCTAGGTTTAAATCTGAGAGTTAGGCGAGGCTTAGACTAGACTTAAACCTAGGTTTAAAGTTAAACCTGACTTCAGAATACGGGCCAGTGGCTTGAAGTTATTTTCAGCTATCGGTGAGTGTCTGCTGATTTCCTACATTAACTAAGTTGTAAATGTTCGGTGATGCCATCAATTAACATTTATAGAAAATATGAATGCCAGTAACATTGCGAGAGAGAAAATATTGCCTTCTTTCTTTTCTGTTTTTAGAGATTCTCTAGGAAAGAAAGCCTACCCAATCCCAATAGGTGGATCTAACTCAGTAGGAGTCTTTGGATACCTGGAATGCTTCAGAGAACTCCTCCAGCAGGTCATTAGCAAAATACTTTTAAAATAGCTCTCAACATAGCTCAGAGTTCTGGCATGCCTCTTATTCACAAACTCTATTATACTGATGCAAATTTGTTTGCAACATAAAAACTTTCTGTAGGTCATGTTTATTTACAGAGATATATGTTGTCTACTTTAGTTGACTGAATTCTTTAAGGATATACCACACTTAAAGATCAGGATCTATCGTTGATAAATGTAGAAGTATGTTTTATAAAACATAATTTCATTCAGTTTTTGAAGTTCACTAGGTTTACTAGGCTACTATCCAGTAGTGTTTCTAATTGAATATAATTTTGTGGGTTTTGTTGTTGTTTTTTTTTTTAAAACTTTTGTTTCTGTCTCATATTGGTAATCGATGCTCTCTCCCGATTAATGACATTATCAATGGTATCAAAGGAATTTGTTGTGTTTATACACTGTCTAGATTAATCTTTCTTGCTGCCCTCTTAGATGACTTAAAGTCAATTTGATAATGTCCTTGAATTAAAAGGAAGAGACATTTGAAAATAACGAAGAAAATCATATTTTTTTTTAAACAAGCAAGTGATAAATATAACCCCCTAAAATGACAACTACTTTATGTATATCTTTATTGTAGAGCGCATTGAAATTTCAACAGACATGAAATCGCTAAAAAAGAACAAAGTATTATTATTATTATTATTACAACTAGTGCAAACTAGAATCGTCCTTCATTTTTTTCATGTGATTGTAGAATGTTCAGGAGAGGTTCAGCGATATTGTCATAACATCAGGCAGTAGTGGATCACTAGCTGGTCTTGCAATTGGCAACTATCTGACAGGAAGCAAACTCAGGTTCGTTCCATGAGCTTTAATATCCAGAATCATAAATTGGTACTACTGATACCACAAAATTGCCCAAGACTAGACGAACATAGCACCAGGTGATATAAACAGGGTGAATTGCAGTCATTTAATTGGCAGAAAATAAAGGAAGGACCAGCATGAATACTGGTATAAATGACTTTAATAAATAAACATCTTGTGTTTTGGACCCAGGGAGATATACTTCTTGACACTTCTATTAGTTAACAGTGTGTTTATATTGTTTTTGTGTGACATGGTCCATTTTCATTCCATCTTATTCTATTCTTACAGGATTCATGGAATGGCAATATGTGATGACGCAAAATATTTTCATGGAGAAATCAACAAGGTTTTACGTGAACTTGGCATGCAGGAAGGTCAAGGGTCATCAGGGGTCAGGTCAGAGGACATTGTAGATGTCGTGGAAGGGGTCAGAGGGCTCGGGTATGGTTTATCTCAGCCTGAAGAACTTGAATGCATTAACCAAGTAGCCAGGACCACTGGTATCTTTGTTGACCCAGTCTATACTGGTAAGGCAACCTTTCACCTCATGCGTCTGATGAAGGAGGAACCAGACAGATTCCAAGGATCCAAGATTCTCTTCATTCATACAGGTAAATACGACAGTTGCTCAGGAGACATTCTCTCCAGGCTTCATTTTGTCAAATATAAGGATGTGTCTTTCCTGGGGACCTAGTGACGGGTTATTCCATGAACTGTTATTAATAAATGAACTACAATATTTGGAATCTAGCCTGCATATATTACTTTTTGCTATGTAGGGCAAGCCTTTGGCATGCTTTCAGGCTGTCAAGAACAACTTTTGTTTAAATATTATGCATAAAATTTAAATCTATTGATGGTAGATTTTGCAGAATGAATTCACTCTTGATATTTCTCTGTTTTGCTCTGACAGGAGGAGTGTTTGATCTGTTCAGTGGTGCCATGGGTTCTATGGCTGATAAAAGGACTTCATCAGAGAAGAAGGTTTATGATTGGATGGAAATGACTGAAAAAACACCCCTCTGCCAATCAGGATGAATCTTGTATGAAAAATTACTTCATCAGAGAAGAAAGCTTTTGATTGGATGGAAATTACTGACCAAAGACAACTAAGCCAATGAGGATAAATCTTGTCTTAGGATCCAAGGGGTTCTTCAGCAAAAACACTTTTGATTGGTTCTAATTAAATCTATCAAGAATCAAGGTGAAATATATTGTGGTAGTTATGTTATAGTTATGATATCTTCCTTTTCATATTCACAAACATGGTTCTTCATTGGTCCATGTGGATGGCCAACTTAAAACAAAACCTTGTTGAAAACTTATAAACCAGTAAAGCTTAAAGTGTGAGCCTCGCTGTCATTCATTAGAAAAAAAGTATTTAAACGTAAGACAATGAAATTAATAGCTTCTTATAGGAATTGTGTTCCTTTCTTCTTGGTATAAACATCAGCAAAATGTATTTTTGTATTTTTTTCTTAGTATTGTGTTTATAGTACTGTAGTTTTTATTCTATTTAATAATACCAAATATTGTATTTGAACTGAAATAATGGAGAAGAAAATAGCAATATTTGAAAAGAAAATAGTTTGTTTCTAAAATGCTGTCCTAATACCTCATTTAAACAAGACGAATTCAGGGAATCAATTTTGCATTTAGTGACAGCACAAAGTATGTTCCTTGTCTTTAATTTCCTTAAAGAGATATTCATACTTTGTGATTGAATGCTGTATATATTTAATTTGTCTGCTATGAGCCAGAAGGGCGTCGATTTACCTTTGTCTGCCTTTTGTATACTAGACAATACTCTTATATTCTTCTTCAGATGTAATGGCATCATTCTCTTGATATTTACCTATTTGGGGCTAACTGTTCCAATATTTTTTTGTTTCTTTTATCTTTTTTCCTTTTTTTCCTTCTAATGATTGATATTATGAAATGTGGTCTCCTTTCATATTATTTAGTACATTTTTTGCTTCATGACAATGAAATGGGCTACATCATATTGTATGTTTGTTGAAATGTAGATGTCCGTATGTCAGTGAATGGTCTGTAATTGCTGGTGAGATTTTAGGAGACATGTTTATATTTGTGTTGCAGCCATATTTACAGTATTGTTACTACTTTATATTTTAGGATTGACATAAGCCTTGCATGATTACATTATTGTTTGAATTTTCAAAGAAAAATAGATAAATTGTATGTAATTTATTAAGAAATAGAAATATATTGAAATGGGATATATTATATATTGTTTGTACTTTTAAATTTTTTACTATTGTAATTTAAATGATTGAATAATTGAAATTATATGCTCTAAACTCATTAGCTGTTTTTGTTTCATTTTTTAAATACAATATTAAGCTATGTATATAAGGCACATTGTTACTGTCCATCATAATATACACTGTTGCTCATAACGGTGGAATATTTTTTTTTATCCCAATTTTTGGAATTATTTTAAAAATAATTTAAAAATACTAGATCTAGATAATAGTATACAGTCTCAGATTTTATTGAATAATAATTTGCCAATATGTGTTTTGCGTGACTGCTAAAGCATGTATATTATGCTACTATGTTTATCAACTAGGGGACCTATGCCCTTAAGTCATAAAGGACAGTAATGAGGATTAATGCCTCACAAAAGGGCTCTGATATAGCACATCGACACGGTGTTGATCCTAGGGCCTCACAGTTACGAGGCCATTGCTTTGTCACTGAACCATGACTGTACGCAGCGGGGGCTATGGTAGGGGGCAGTTTCCATAAATTTAAAAAAAGAAAGAAAATGCAATAAATTTTGAATAATTTATTGCATTCTACCCAGGTCCCCAACATAAAAAAAATCCTCTGGACGGCCATGCATTATGGCTCAAGGCATGGGCACACAGAAGATTTTTTATGTTGGGGACCGGGGTAGAATGCAATAAATTATTGAAAATTTATTGCATTTTCTGTTTTTTTTTAATTTATGGAAACTGCCCCCTACCATAGCCCCCGCTGCGTACAGTCATGGTTCAGTGACAAAGCAATGGCCTCGTAACTGTGAGGCCCCAGGATCAACACCGTGTCGATGTGCTATATTAGTGCCCTTTTGTGAGGCATTAATCCTCATTACTGTCATTTATGACTTAAGGGCATAGGTCCCCTAGTTGATAAACATAGTAGCATAATATACATGCTTTAGCAGTCACGCAAAACACATATTGGCAAATTATTATTCAATAAAATCTGAGACTGTATACTATTATCTAGATCTAGTATTTTAAAATTATTTTTAAAATAATTCCATAAATTGGGATAAAAAAAAATATTCCACCGTTATGAGCAACAGTGTATGTATCCATTTAATCTCCACAAAATAAAAACTTTAAAATATGAGAGATATACAGTGCGACCCAGAAAAGAACGAAACCGTTTAAAGTGATGCTTGCATTTCCATAATTTGTTTTAAAAAGTTTGTTTTCACTGGCTGCCTGCCGTAGCAACAAACGGAATTGACAAAAGACTTAACTCTGTTTCGTTGACGATGAGACATAGACGAAAGACTTCATGCATGGCTGATTGTCAATGAAATGGAGTTTAGTCTTTTGTCAATTCTGCTTGTTGCTACGGCAGGCAGCCAGTGAAAACGAACTTTTAAAATCGAATTATGGAAATGCAAGCATCACTTTAAACAAACAGAACTTTGTTATTCCTTGCTCATTTTTCCTGATTGAGGTGTCATATGAAAGGGCAGAAACTGAACTTTCTAGAAATGTGAATTTTTCTTCGAAATTCAGATACTGCCCGCCAAATGACTTTTTGGTTTCCTTCCGTCAAATATGCATCATATGAGTTCATCAAATGAAAGAGGAGGATCTAAGCTTTACAAATATGTGTCATTTATTCATTATAATTGTGATTAAGTTATGATAAAACATCGATAATTCTCGGTTTCGTTTTTTCTGGGTCGCACTGTGTAGTTCAAACACGGGCATTTTATTCAAGATGAAACTTTGAATGGATTGTGCAAGACTCCCACGGTAAATACCATTTAAAAGATACAGATGTTGGCCAGTGGTGTGTGTGTTAGATATAGAGAGACAGATAAGCAGGGAGACAGACAGAGAGATCATAGAAATGGGGAGGAAGGAATGAGGAAAGGTATACAGAGAAAAAGGAATAGGGGACTGAGAGAGATTGGTAGAAAGAGGGGGAAAAAGAGGCGACCCCAACCAGGAGAGTTCAAGAGAGAGATTTAGTGATTGAGATGTTTGAGCACTTGACTGGAAATGCAAAGGTCGTGGGTTCGATCTCGACTAGTGTCCTTTGGCTAGACATTAATCTAGATTTGCCACTCCATACCCAGGAGAGAAGTGATGACCTGCATGGTAGCATGACGAAGCCTTTGTGATAGTAATTGCCATTATGCATTTGCGGTGACCATACGGTAGCAATACTCCCCATGGAGTGGAGATGATGCACACTATATGCATGATTTAATCCAACCAGGGTAATGATAATCTGTAAAGCGCTCAGAGACAGTATTCCGTATCGACCAAGCGTTAATGAATCCAGCTTTATGATTTATTATTCGTCCATCCATTTATTCTGAACGATCCGTCCTGAAAGTACGTACCCCCCCCCCTTTTATCATGCATCAACAATCCAAATACGCGTCTTACAAATCAACCACCTTTCTACGGTAAGCACTTACTTCCACATCCGTCTTTCACGTCTTCCCTCATATGAAAAACTGGTCAAGAGAATGCCCACTATAGATACCCACGCACAGTGGAGTGGCATGATTGAGGGGGCACGTGCCAGGACATAATCAATAATAAAACAAAGACACAATTTTTTTAAGAAAAGAAAGAAAAAGAGAGGGGGTCGATACCACCCCACCCATACCGCCCCTTTCTATGACCGTGTCCTCTCTCATCCCATCCACTAGGCCTAACAAAAAGATGTTGTATTGCCCTTTTCGACCGACCCAAAAATCTCGAAATATACGGTCGGCCTTTTAAAAAAGTTTTTTTTTTTTTACAGTTTTTTAGAGAAAAAAATATTAAAAGCATGGCAAAACGGAGAAATATCAGCCCAATAAAGAGGGAGAAGAAAAGAAAATCAAACAAAAATATAAAAAGGTTTCCGACCGACCGACCATTATTTTGGCACCTAAAGGGCAATACACCATCTTGTTTTTAGGCCCTACTATAATGCCCCCTCCCACTTTGACCCCGGCGCCCCTTAATGACTGGACCCATGTACGCCACTGCTTACATAAGCGTACTTGTATTGACATTTAGAAGTGTGTCAGGCGTACGTGACGGAAACAATCGATGGTGAGATGGGAATATAAATCACAGCACTCAATAGAAATAGAACAACAAACATTATTGAAAAAAACGCAACCTTGTAATTCGCTCACTGGCTCCTATTTGTTTCAAGAGCTGTTCGCATTGACCGAAATCACTTGCTTGCTTATTTTTATATCGAGTTGGCCATATCAATTCGGTAGCTATCAAAATGATTTTGGATTTTATGTTAGCATCTAGAGCTATCAAAACGATTTTTGATATCAGGCCTATGATTCTTCTCGAAATATTTGAGAAATCAATATAATGATATCGTACGTGTATAATGTTGAGAAGATTAAAGGAATTTATTCAAAGTGGAACTGGAAGAAAGAAGAAAAAAAAATCAAATAAATGAGTTGTTCAGGACGGTATAATGGAAGAAGAAAAAGCAATAGAAGATATTAGAAAAAAAGAAGAACAATTGAAATAATTGAGTAGGAGGAGGCCTATAGGATGAGGAAAAAAATAATAAAAGAAAGTAAACGAGGAATACAAAGTGAGAAGACGTGGAGAAAAATTATAAAATTAATGTCTCTTAGAAAAAGAGGAAACAGAATAGAAAAAAAAGAAAAGCACAAAAAACAGGGTTTAAAATTATGAATGGCATATGTAAACATACGAGTATGGTTCCAAATATATATATTCGTTTCTTTTAAACCAATATTCATTATGCTGACAAAGAGAAACAGCCCTACTTGAAAGCAAATGCAATTAAATCCAGGTATCCGATGCGATCCAATAACCGCGATGAAAGACCTGAAGTGTGTGTTTCGATCAACTTTTCACCTCATCCCACAGAAAAATCGATCACCATTGTGTTGCGTATGAGAAGAAGCAGTATCTAGCTTCCCCCTCCCCTTCCCTCTCCCTCGCCCTCATCTCCATACCCATTTTGAGTTTCATTGCTTTCTCGCATCTCAGAGAAAAAACGTTTATTTTCAGGATAGCTAGTCGTTCGAATGTTTGGTGTTGAGATATGAACAGGATTGCGCGGATCCTTGGAGATTTGAGACGATGTAATGGTGAATTCGGTACATGCCGCTCTTTACCCAAATAAATGTCATCCGTAACTCGAGCGTATCAACCGTCTGATGATGGATGCTTCAAAGCCTTCAATGCTAAAAAATCGCGTAGAGAAGTATCTCCAACCTCAGGAAAAACATCGAAATACATATAGCAAGAGAATACCGTCGCAAAATGCCTTGAAGTTCAAAGATGATATCCCATCGACAGTACTCTATCGGATCATCGGATGGCAATTAATAGTTAGACGACGACAGATTAAGACTGTTAACGATTCGGGTCGACAAAAATCTTTCGTTATCAAAGGCAAACAAATAAAATATTCTGCAAAATGTTGTTTCACATCGCTTGTTCGTGTTGTGAAGTTTCAAACTTAAACATTTATATGATATTTCGTCGACAGGACTATAGTGGGTGGTGATTGAGCAGTTTGACGACGGAAGATTTAATAATCTTAACAAATCGGGTCGAGAAGCATCTCTCGTAAACAAAGGCAAAAATGATGCTGCGAAATGCCTCTTTACTGCTTCTTCGTGTTGTGATTTTCCAAAAAATTAACAATAATGTCTAATATATTGGAAGGCGATTCAACCAGTTGATGAGGAATGTTAACAAACCGCTGAGACACATATCTCTCGTAAAAATTATTGACGGAACAAAATCAAGTTTTAACGGTCTCATCGTGTTGTGAAGATGAGCATTAACGATTCGATTTCACAATGGAACCTGACATGGAAGTCGTTACAATCTAAGGATCCTTACCTTTACCGAGATCCTGACGGTGAGCGGGATGTTTTAGATGCAGAGATCGACGTTGGTCGCGTCTTCCAGCTCATCCTCGGGTCCATTGGCTTTGTAGGAAACCTTCTCTGCCTCATCGTCCTTCTCACAAAATCGTTAAGGAACTACACACATTTTCTGATTGTCACGCAAACCGTCGCCGACTTCATCGCTTCAGCGTTCCTCATCCTCGTCGCAAGCCTACGTCTGATGGGCTACGGCGACCGACGTCGCGAAATCGAATCGGAGCGCTTTGGCGCATTCTATTGCTATTTCTTGTACTCGCATCTTCCTATCTTCGCATTCTTCGCCATCTCGACGTACAACTTGACGGTGATCTCAATAGAGAGGTATCTAGCCGTTGTCAAACCGATGTGGTATATCGCTAAATTCAAACGAAGATGGTTGTACATACTGACAGGAGCAGCATGGATCTTAGCCCCTCTCATGCAAATCATCTTATCTTTAGATGTGCAGTATGACGATGGTGTTTGTATCACTGTGAAATATTTCTCGTCCAGCATATATGTTGGAATGGCAATTTTCATTTGGGAGTATTTTGTACCAGCTACCGTCATGCTGTTTTCGTTTGCATGCGTAGCGCATAAGTTACGGAAATTAAACCGAATATCCGTAGCATGGTTACGGGATCGCGACCACGTACATGTTGTCGACATTCCTGGTGATTCCTCGGCGACGCACTCGAAGAAGTCGCGATCAGGAGCGTCGGAGCCTGAAGCGAAGCTAGCCTCGACAAATCAGACGACACCATCGCCCCAAAATGTGGCTGCTCCGACGTCCTCTTCATTACCGACATCATTGCAAAAACCCGTGGTCAATGACCGCTGGCCGCCGCGTGTGATCAGACCAGCGATTATCAGGCGTAAGAAAACGACAAAGGTCCTCTTCGTGATCGTTCTGGTTTATATGGTCTGCTGGTCGCCTAACCAATGGGCCTTCTTCTATCATAACCTTGGGGGTCATTTCCTGATTGATGGGAAACTGCATCTAGCAACCATCATCATAGCTACCTGTAATACCTGTGTTAACCCTTTCATTCTTGCCTTCAGGTATAAGGTCTATCAGCGAGGATTGGTAGACTTACTAAGACGATCATTTAGGAATGGTAGATAAAACTGTATCTAATAATTGTGATATACATACCACTTAGTACAGAGACTTCTTTTGATAGGATAAGTACATGTATACAATTACAAAGTCTTCTTTGCAGCTTTGTCTAAAATAGTATTTGATTGGCTTTTTCTGAGATACCTTTAGATCAACAAACTGATGAAGTCAATTGCCTTTTCAAAGTCCTAGCGTTATCTGCTTTGGATGAAGTTCTGTCTAAAATGGGATACTATACTGCATGGGCTTTCCTGAAAAGGCTCATTTTCATGACTCGTTCGACAGTTACCATGGCTACTGTAGTACTGTCTGTACTATTTGCATGATCAGGCGCGTACGCAGGGAGGGGGGGGGGGGGGTGAACCCTCCCTTTAACCTATTTTATGTGTGTGTTTGGGAGGGAAAAAACAACCCCTTTGATTTTTTTTTTAATTAAAAAAAAAAAAAAAAAAAAAAAAATTGTGGTAATAGGCGACCCCAAAAAGCTAACCTTACCCCCCCCCCCCAACGAAACGAAATATCGATCGGCCAAATTTTCAAATTTTTGGACACACACACACACAAAAAAATGTCCTCTTCCCCCCTATTATATACGCCTACAAACGTATGAAATATATTCTTTTCAGGACCATGATAATTATCAAGGAATAAAGTCAACAACACTGTAGTGATAAAGAATGTTTTGTGTAATGAATTTAGGGGCACGATTTTCAGGAGGATGCTACGGTCCCCTGCCCCGATACCAACGTTCCAACTTTCTAAAGTTTCTAAAATTTATGAAGTAAAGAGAGGATATATTGAGATTTCACTCAAGATGTATTTTGTATCAAAAGATAAATTTTTCATGTAATACATCATTAAATTATATTAAAATAGTGTGGCAAAGACTTTTGACAAATCAAATGGGTGATGGTCAATTCTATTGAAATTGCCTCAAATTCACTTTTCGAAGGCCTTGCGATCGTGTATAATAAAGAATATGAAAAGATTCAAGATTCAAGATTTTACTGTCCATATATAATAAAGAAATTTGTTTTCCATTGGTGTAACATGTAATATGTAAAACATAAGACAAAAACAAGGTGTCGTGTGCAGAAGGCCGGAAGGGCGTCACGACTCTATAAAAGAAAAGTCTATGAGCAGGTACGGTCCTCCGGCTTTCAGCACAAAACATGACAAGACAGTTACAATGTATATGACTTATAAATAGCAAGAATATTAAAATACAATTCTGAATCACACCATGAATAAATTTAGGTATGAATATAAATGTGAATATGAAAGTAGAATAGGAGCAGCATCACAATCGAAATACGAGCAGAAAGAGAAAGAAAAGGAGAGCTCAAGCTCGAAGGACTGATAAAAGAGAGAAATATAGGGAGAGTTGGTAAGGGCCCAAAGGGAAAGGGCAGAGATAGAAAAGGAGAGATGGCATAATTTCCAATCAGAAAATCAGAAAATGATTTGAAATAGACCATCTCAATTTTCAACATAACAGAGTTTCATAAACGAAATTACATTCTGACAGTCTACAGTTGTCTATATTGATTTTATTTTAAATCGTTTTCAGCATAAACTTTTTAAAGAAAATAAAACGATGTGACAAAAATTACGTTTCCAATGAAACATGAAGTTCGGATTAATCATACGTTATATAGAATCGTTTATTCGCATGACTATCATCTCCATTTTTAAAATTGTCCATAATCTGCTTTTAGTATATACTATTTCTTTATATTTCGTTTGAGTTTGCCCGACTTTCACTCATTGCATTGAAAAACAAAATCTCATTGGAAGGTAAAGTTAATTAGTTGAGTGTTGGTCAATATTCACTTTATAGCGAACGAAACTATGATCTAAACATAAAAAACATTAATGTCTAAGAATGATGGTGGGAGATATAACAAATTTATACAAAAAAAAAGGAGGGGGGGGGGGGGTGCTCCATCCTTTGCTGGATATGCCATTGTGATTGTTGATCCAATCCAATGTTCTTTTGTGAACAACTAAAGTCATGTACGGTGACCCGACATTAATTACTCTCGATCCTTGCTCCGGTATTTATTTCGTCAAAGGTTTAGGGTTAGGATTATGTTTTACGTTTGGGTTAAGGGTTAGAGAATCCCGAGTCCGCCACGATTCTCACTCAGTATACTGTTTTTACCAGACCTGCCAACCTCTGGAGTTCAAAAACTGTATTCTTTAATCCAAAAAGTTGTATTTTACTGACAAAAGTTGTATTTTTAAAAAATAAACACGGACTGTTACGCGGATCAATGCCTCTTACGGTTCCTATACATACAAGAAGAATTTTTTTATGGTGAATATGCATAATTTCGTCACGACTGTTGTGTTCGATGAACCAATGAACATCCCCAAATTGCCAATGTGAGATGCTTGTAGGATACCTTTTTTTTTTACTTTACTTTTTTGTTTTGTTGTTGAAAATCGTATTTTATTCAGGAAAATCGTACTGTCGTATTTGCTTCTAAAAATCGTACGAAATACGACTAAGCTATCATACTGGTTGGCAGGTCTGTTTTGCACTTGACAGCTTGGTCAGGGTTTGACCGCCTACTTGTTTTGGTCGACTTAAAAGTGACCCATATATTGATTTTTACCCGCCCTACTTTTGCCCCTTTCACGTCTCTTGTCGACCAGACGTGACTTATTACGTTAATGGCTTGTCAAACAAATGGGGCGACTGCAGAGGGTTTAAAACACTTGTCCAAGACTGAATTGTGGTTGCTCCGAATTCTCACTGGCCATCCCTCTTTTGAGATATATGCACTGGCTACCAGCCCCCCCCCCCCCACTCTGGGGTCGGAGACCGCATGCGCGTTCCCAAAATCTTCGGTAAAGGGGTACTTATTCGCGCGACAAAATCTGGCCTGTATTAACTTTACACACGGAGATAGCGGGTGCTTTAAAAGGGACTCTGAACGGGCAGGGATTGATTGATTGATTGATTTTTTATTCGCCAAGCTTCCAACATACAACAATACACAAGAATTTGATGTTATTATTCCCCTATTTGCTATAGTTGAGATCGATTTTTCTACCTCCCCTTCGCCTGCCCCTATTACTTTGTAAAGTGCCCCTTTTAATTTGACACGTGCCCCTTTTCCTGTTAGGGATCGGTCATACATGTAAATATACATGAGTGAAAATCTACTTTTTTGGGGATTCATATTAGAGACCACTACTTTTGGAGTGGAAATTCACTCTCAAAATAGTGGAATAAACTCCAATAACAATGACTGAAACACTACCTTGGAGTGAATTCCACAATAATTTGGAGTGTATTTGTTATTGGGTAACACCCGAATAATGTCGAATTCCCCATGAGAGCCCACTACTATGCGTCTTTAAAAAAAGTGGAGTTTTCTTTTTAGCTCTACATTGAATAAGGGAGTACGTTGTTCATTTCAATCATGTTTTGGAATACTGGATGAGATGCGCTTTGTAGGGGTATTCCTGCATGACAGTAGGAGAACAGATAGAAATATCGGATAGAAATATAGACGTTATGCTTCAGTGTGGTTTGTCCTCACCCATGCACACAAATCAACCAGGCCGTGCGTGCTGATACGGTTACCTCAAGAAGCCAAGAAGGGTGGGTATACTAATTAATGGAGTCGCCTGCAGGAGATGATTCTTGACGTCCTATATCTCTGATTTCCTTGATGTTTGGTTTTATACACTAAAGGAAAGGACCCTGCATGAAGGAATACCTTTACTGTAGTCTTCATGTTAATGGCGTAGCTATGGGAACACGGAGAAATTGTGCTCCCCGCCCCCATCGTATGCAACGAAAAAAGAGAAAAGACAATGGAAAAGAGAGAGAAAGAGAAACAGATATACAGTGCGTCCCAGAAAAAAAAACCGAGAATTATCAATGTTTTATCATAACTTAATCACAATTATAATTAATAAATGACACATATTTGTAAAGCTTAGATCCTCCTCTTACTTAAAAGATGGTATACAAAGTCACAAGGCTATCGATGAGGGGCGTCTTGGAGAGGGTCCCATTACGTTTTTTCCCCACGTTCCTCCCCTTTTCGGTATCCCTCCTTTTTCGTCTTTCCATTTGTGCCATTCGATGGAGAGGGGGGCCGGGGGGGGGGGGCGACCCGGGCTAGTGCCCTCTAGCTACGCCACAAGCATTGTGTGAAGATGATAGAATCGTTGAGATAACTGTGTTATTCTTAGTTTATTTAATAAAAGCAACACAATCTGATAATGGAATAGACTAATAGAGCATATTGATACTAATCATTCCTCTATAAATCCAGCACATTTGGGGGAATTCGCTCGCTCTGGTTACATCGAAGATTAACTTTTCATGTAATTTCATCCTTTATTGTCTGTGTAATGATGCTTTATGTTCTCGTATTTACGCATGCACGTGTATCTATTTACTTGATTGATACGTTGGTCAATTTGGTGCTATGAATATCACATTCTGTTCGCATGGAAAATGCTTCAGGGAGTATGTGTGTGGATGAGTCTAAAAATTGCTATGTATATTGGTTATTGGTTTAAGTACATGTAATTAGATAAATGCTACTGACTAAAACCAATGTTCCTATTTTCAAAGATTTTGAATAACACATGATGATCATGATGATGATGATCAAGACGGCGACAATGATGATGATGTTGATAGCAGTGGCGGATCCAGGGGGTGGGGGGCCTTAAAAATCATGTAAAAACACATGATTTTTTAGCTTTTGGGGGGATGCCCCCCCCCTTGCGCTCAAGGGGGGGGGGGGGGTGCAAATTTTTGAGGGCCCCCCAAAAAAATGGGCTCAGTATTGATGATAATGATGAAGATAATAATGGTGATGATGATCAGATGGTCCTGGTCATGATGATGATGATAATGACGGTGATGATGATGATGATGATGGTGTTGCTGATGATGATGATGGTAATGATGGTGATGATGATGATGATGATGATAATGACGGTGATGATGATGATGATGATGATGATGATGG